AAGATAGTCATAGCAATTCGTATATTCATATCGTATATAACATTAAATTCAAATATTTATATTATATTTTATACAAAAATTGTATATTATAATTTGTGTAGACATGAAATATAAAATATATATTTTTTAATTTTGTTAAATACATCTATAGTTATTGTTAAAATTTTAAACTATTTCACTTCTATTTTCTATTTTCATATTGTATTCGAATCATATAACCATATCATATTTTAAATTATTAGATCTACTAAAAGGTGATGTGATAATTAGAAATTGCAATTATTCATATGTCAAGCTATTATTGCTTTATTATTTAGATTTTATTAGACAAGAAGAAACTATAAGTACAACATAAATGGCTATCTCATATATAGAGCATTTATTTGATATAATTTGATACAAAGCACATTATTGGCATTCCTTTATGAACTTTTCCTAAGGAAATGTGACAAAAAGAGAAGCATAAAGCTAACTTATAACACAGATTTAGGCACAGCTATGAAAGTAAAATGTTCAAGGTTTGTTAAATCGAATTAAATTTCCTTTTTTTGTTATTAAAGACCCTTTTTCATTAATGGGTGTTTGTTATTTTCAATCATGGCCATGGCCCATGGTATGGGAAATAACTGAATACGTAATAAGGAATGATAGATAGATATATATAGTTGAATAACGAGCATGCCTTTGTACAAACCTTGACGATATCCCCAAAGAAACAGGCTTTTCTGGCATCAAATCAGACCAGACCAGGTCATCATGTTCATGTTAATCAGTTAATTTCTTTTTGTGTTTGTCTTCCTTTCCTGTCCCGAGATGAAAGCTCCCTTTCAAATGGATTTCATTGGATCAGGCTTTTCATCCTGGGACCATGATGTTAGAACAGCAACATTATCCAGCAGCAACTTGTATGCCAACCAAATATCCCCCAAGTTCATGAAATCACGCTTTGTTTTTAACACTTCATTTGGACTTGCGAAAATTATGAGGCGATTTGTACATGAATGTTCAAGTCAAAAAAACCCGCCAAAGTTGAAAATTTTTATCCAAATATATGCATCTGTGTTGTAGAATTTCTTCAACTTTAAGTGGTGAGAAGATTCATTGTATTCATCAAATTTGAGTTAATTTGGTCAAATGCATGCTAGGAAAATGGAGGATTGATTTTTTTTTTTTTTTTCATTTGAAGAGATCAAGAAATTCAAACCCAACTCTTTAAGCAGACATATATATAAGGGTTAATCTGATATTCTGATACGAATATCTCATTTCATGTGTATGTTAAGGTAAACGAATGAGATATCTCATGTCACTAAAAAATGGAATGAAAGGGTGGCATATATACGTAAAGGATTCAAACATAATAGCTTAAATTTTTTTTGTTCAAAATGGTGTCTAACATATATGCATGAATTTTTTTGGACGTGTTCTTATGAATTTTAAATGTAATTTATCTTTTCATCAAATGATATCAAAATCGAAAATTTGATTTGGACTTAAGAAGCAGTGGTGATACTGTATATAATTACAAGAAAAACACAAGAGGGCATCCATTGAATAATTAAATAGTCTAAAAATAACATAAGACTTGGTTGGTAATATAAGATCTTATTTTATAACCATTCAATAATTCTAAAAGTATTATTTGAATTTAGACCCATCTAACTATACATTTTTATGTCTGCTTGTCCAGCCAATCTATAGATGCCTCCTTAATAGACTCGCCACCAAACTCTTTTCTATCAAGTTAAATGTGCACGAAAAAATATTGGTCCAAATAATTTTTGCTTAAATGAAATTGTTTTCATTTCTTTTTTCGGATCCCATTAACTAAAAGTAAGTGTTCTTAATTTGATTAACTTTAAAGAATAATTTGAGGCACTCATGTAGTAGTTCAGTTGATAAAGAAAAGAAACCCATTCTTTATCGGTTAGGGTTCAATCATCGTGAAACGCATTTTAAAAGCAAAATTTTAAATATACAACCAAAAGTTATAAGGAAATATATCGTCTGAAATTATTATATTACAATTAACAAATCATTTAAATTATATAAGATTCAGTACAAAACTCGCATTTATAAATGATAAATTTTTATATAAATTTTTATTTTGATTAAATAATTATAATATTATCATAAAAAATTATAAGTGAAATGCTCTCTAATTATAAATGCGCCTTTAAGATTGTCTTGGAAAAAAATATAGATTTAGACAAGATCTGAAAATGATCTTCCTGTCTTATTTATTTTAAGACAAATAATTTGGACCGTATTATTTAATGTGAATATATCTATGATTCATTTTCAACTAAATGTAGGCTTAGCATTTGCTTGCAGCCATTGCCAACCAATCCAGCTCGTTCTTGCTAACATGTAGCACCAATATCCAAAACATTGGAAAGTGACATTCATTACATTGCATGGATATATGGATATTGCGGGGTTTAATAATTAGGTCTTAAATGGACAGCCAACGTGATCATAAATGTAACAACTTGCATGGAAACAATGGCAGATGATTGGTTCGAAATGGGGCCCAAACGGAGCCTCAACTGCCCTAACAGGATCATGAATTTCGACAAGGCCCCACACCAAATCTTTTTCACTTGAAAATTCGAACAAAATTCGGATGAGAATGATTAGATCTATCAGAAAAATGAAAAAATGAGCCATGGGTTGGGGATGAGATTGACAAAGCTTTCTTTATGCTGCTTGAATCAGCAGGACTAGATCTCATAATTTATATATTTATGATATATAAAATATTTAAATTTATATATTCATATACAAAAATTATATATCATAATTTATATTAATATAAAAATATAAAATATAAAATTTTTTTATTTTATTAAATTTATATATAAATATTAATAAAATTTTAAATCATATATTTTTTATTTATTTTTTTATTAAATATATATTATTAGATATAACAGACGCATAGAAGGGGCGGAAACGTGGAGATACGGCTTAGATATAATATTCTTATCCTTAAAGTATACAACAATTAGTGACGTAGAGAAATGGCACTCTTGCCAACTAATCAACAAAACCCTTTCCTTATCTTCTTCCTCTCCCACCCTTTACTCCTTTTTGAATTCTCGTTTTTCTTCTTTCTTTTTACAATTTTTTTCGACTTGATTTTGCCAATTATGTTCACATTCGATCATTGCATACCGTATCAGATTCTTTTTAATAGAAAATTATGCATTTAATTACTAAATCAAATATTCAAATGCAGCCAATAATCGTGTGATTTGTTTTGTGTAATTTTAAAATTTTAATTTTAATAAAACAAAAAATCAATGTTTTAATTTCAATTATTAAAATTCAATTCTTGACGGATTCAAATAAAAAATTATTCGAATGTAAATTTTGAAATTTTTGATTGGATGCAACATGCACAAAGCAAAATACTGAAGACACATACATATAGGCATTTTTTAAATGGAGATGAGAAAAAAATTGAAAAAATTAAAAATCGATTTGAAATTATAGTATTTAATTTGATTTTGATCGATTTTTTTATTTGTTTTAGATTAAATTTGGATATTAAATGTATATATTAAATTTGGATTGAATTTCATATTAAAATGTAATAAAAAAAACCTAAATATATATTTTTATACATATTTTAAATTTTATAAAATAAAAATAATTATTTTATATATAAATCTTTTTAATATATTAAAAATTATATAAAAATAATACATAAAAATAAAAAATTAAATATAAAAATTGATTAATCAAATTAAACTAATCAAATTTGATTCAAATTGAATCGATTTAAAAAAAAATCAATTCAAATTAAAATTAAATTTAAAAATTTTATAATATTATATATTATCCAAAATATTAAATTAAATTCGATTAAATCTAAAGTGATATCATCCTTCCTTAAAACAACTCCCGAAAAGAGCAACTAGAAGCTTGTCATGTTTTAGTTAAGAAAATTTCTTTGTCATGTGACAAAGAAAACGTTAGAGGATTCTTGGGGAAATAAAACTTGCACACAAAAAAAAGCTGGTGGCTTTTCATGGGATTTAGAGCAGTGACGTAAAACAGATTAACCCTTTTCCTTTCGTGCAAGACCGGATTTGAAGAAACGATTGATGTAAACTGAGTAACGATCCACTTTTCAACTTTTGATTTGATTTGATATATGTTTGCTTACGCCGCATGCAGGTTAAAACGATGACTCAACTATCTGCTAAGAGTTATCTGAAAATGGAGCTTCACATGCCACGTCTACTTGGATTAATCCTTATGAACCATCTACCAAAATTAAGGATACAATGTTTTTTATTAATCTTATTAATTCTAAGTACTTAGAAAAAGAAGAATTCAAGACAAGTAATGACAACAATCCAAAACTTTGTGTTAATCCTTTTTCAAATTGCAATATAAAAAAGTAATCTAAAATAAATCTGATAATTTATGTATTTATGTTATATAAAATATTAAAATTTTTATATTTATATCATGTTTTACATAAAAATTATATATTATAATTTATATCTATACAAAAACATAAAAAAATATTTTTTTTGTTAAATTTATATATTTTTTAATTTTAAATCATATTATTTTTATATTTATTTTTTATATTATATTTTTATCATATTATGAATTGATAAATATAATCTAAAGCTAGTTTAGGAGAATAAATTTGACAGAAGGAACTGCGCTGGAGGCCTGGAATTAAGCTTTTCAGGCTCAAAATATAAGCTTTTGTGGATAGTAAAGACCAAAGAGTAAAAAACCCATATCTAGCTTCTGAATACCAAAGCCCAACAACGTCTCATGACAAGTTTTAAAGCTCCCTCAAGTCGAAACAATTTGCATTTTGCAGTCTTACTGAATGGGGCTTTACAGGGATTAGCTCTGCATCTGGGTCACCAAAGGCCCGACAGGTAAGGGATCATTTCGAAACCAACCCAAGTTCATCAACATGTATAGATCCCAGCTTCTGAAAAGACTAATTATAGATTGAAAAGGAATTTGCTATGAAAAAGTTTTATTCATAAAATATGCAACGGGCCTACAGCAATTATCCCAGACATACAAAATAAAACCACCTGACAGTTTGTACCACTGTATACTAGCAATTCCGCTGCCTTTTTTTTTTTTTTTTGAGGGATTGGGGGTACCAAATGGTATAGTTTTCAACTTACCAGGTTACAACTTACTCAACTTGACAGGTCCCATCTCTTTTGCCTTAGCTCTCAGCACATGCTTCTGAATCTTACCTGTAGCTGTCTTTGGCAGTGGACCAAAAATCACTGATTTTGGAACCCAGTAAGCAGGCATCTTCGACCTGCAGAACTTCATTATGTCTTCGGCTAACCGCTGTTCATCGGATTTATCCTCCCCTGGCTTCAAGGTCACAAAAGCACAAGGAGATTCGCCCCAGCGCTCATCCGCCCTTGCCACCGCTGCTGCCTCCAATACTGCAGGGTGCAAGTACAGAGTATTTTCTATCTCCACGCTGCTGATGTTTTCACCCCCAGATATGATAATGTCCTTTGACCTATCTTTAATTTCAATATACCCATCTGGATTCTTCACACCAAGATCCCCGGAGTGAAACCACCCGTTCGCAAATGTTTCCTCGTTCACTTTTGGGTTCTTTAAGTAGCCCTTCATCACAAGATTTCCACGCATCACTATTTCTCCAATAGTTTTTCCATCAGCGGGAACGGGCTGACCAGTTTGGGTGCTGATGACATCTAGGCCCTCTAAACCAATGTATCGGACACCCTGACGTGCATTTAGGCGAGCTTGGGTTTCAGGTGGCAGCGAGTCCCATTCAGGCTTCCATGCACACACCGTAGAAGGACCATAGGTTTCTGAGAGACCGTAAGTGTGGGTAACACGGAAACCTTTTTTGGACATTGCAAAGAGAACAGCTGGCGGTGGGGCAGCACCAGCTGTCATTACATTAACAATACGAGGGAGAGGCAGAATTGTGTCCTCAGGTGGGGCATTAACTATGGTATTGAGCACCACAGGTGCAGCACAGAAGTGAGTCACGCCATACTTCGCTATGGCTGAGTAGACTCCCTTTGCTGTTACCTGCAGATACGAAAGGAATGAACAAGGACATCAATAAGTAACAAGCTATGATCATAGCTTAAGGGGGTTTAAGTGCAGAAGCTTAAATCACGACAAGAACAAAAGCAGAATATCGAAAGGCCCCATAGCATAACAGGACTATATTAAAACCTTCAGAGTTTCCACAGAATTATGCCTAGAGCCAGATCAGAAATAGATGAATATGGAACAGATAAGCTAATTTATTTCATTTACTGAAGCGGAAGTAAAGCAATTATTTTGCCTACAACCTGTCGGAGGCATATGTTTGTTCCACAAAGAGCTGCGAGTGCCCAAGTAAAACACCAACCATTACAATGGAACATGGGTAGAGTCCACAGGTAGACAGCTCCTTCATTCATCCCCCATATAAGAGGATTACTCAAAGACATGAGATATGCCCCTCGGTGATGTAATACCACCCCTTTAGGGCTGGCTGTTGTGCCAGAGGTATAACCCAAAGCAATGCTTTGCCACTCATCCTGAGGAGGCTTCCAAGCAAAGTCAGGGTCACCACTTTCCAAGAACTTCTCATACTCAATGGCTCCTTGTCCCAAAGCATACCTAAGGGTTTTTGGATCACAGCTTTCATCAGCAATGACAATCAAAAGTGGAGGCTTGAAATTGCCTTGGCTTTTGTCCTTCATGATTTTCAAAGCAGCCTCTGCCAAATGGAAAAACTCTTGGTCCACAATGACAACGGCAGATTGTGAATGACCCAAAAGGAAAGCAATGGACGATTCATTTAGGCGAATATTGACAGGGTTTATAACAGCACCAGACATTGGAATTCCAAAATGAGCTTCATAAGAAGCAGGGACATTGGGAGCAATTACGGCTACCTGCCAATTTTATAAAGTAATTAGATCAGAATAAATATAAAATGAACAGGAGCAATATAACCAGTAAAGTTTCATAAAAACAGCCCATTACATAAACGATCCATAAACAATTATCAGAAGCAGAATTAATATGCTTTTTTCAAACTTAAGAGTAGGGATTGAAGAACGTATAAAACTGTGCTAACAACATCCAATACATGATACTCTCTGCAAAATCGCTAGCAGAGTATCTTAGCTCTGATTGGTTTGAGAATATATTTTTTATTTATTTTTATTTTCATCTTTTAGAAAATAGTTTTATTTTCTATTTTTTATTTCTAAAAAGTGTATTTAGTAAATGAAAATAAAAATTGTTTTCTACATATGCAAAAATAAAGAAATAAATAAAATATTTAATGTTATTACCATTAAATGCATCTAATTATAAATATAATATATATTTATGAATTAATGACATTAAAAAATGTTCAAATATGGTAAACTACGAAACACAAAGAAAAAAATAATGTACACCCTTTATTTTCTCAATTAAAAATATCTTCTTTTTGTTTGTTTTCATATTTCAACTCATTATCATTTTTATTTTCTAAAAATTTATTTTCATTTTCAATTATCAAATACATTTTCATTCATAATTTTCAATTTTCAAAAAAATAAAAACAAAAAATAACTCTTTTTCGAAACCAAACACTACCGGATTGTTCAATTGATTAACACAACTACCAATTCCCATACCAAATTTGGACCAAACACTACCTTAACATGTTCAGATTTTTCAATTGATTAAAGCTTCCTTCTCATTCCATTATAATACCTCCCTAGCCATAATAATAACTATTCAAAAGAACAATAGCACGGAACCTACTCCAATCAAATCAACTAAGGTGATAACAAATCAAATCAAATTTGATTCTTTTTTTTTAATAATAATATATAAAATTTTGAAATCTAATCCAAATTTGAAATGATTTTCTCTTGAAAGTAATCTGATCCAATCGAATTCTAATAATTCGATTTGATTCATTAGTTTTTAAATTTTAAATTTTTTTATATATTATTTTAACAAAATTTTTAATATATTTAAAAATATTTTTATATAAAATAATTATTTTTATTTTATAAAAATTTAAAAAATATATAAATTAATTAAAATATATAATTTGATTTATTTTGGCTTTCTTATATTTTTTATATTTCAATCCAAAATAATCTGATTCAAATTTAATATATATATTTAATATTCAAACTTAATTTAACACTATCATTTCAAATAATTTTTAGTTTTCTCAATTTATGTTCTCACCCTTACAGTCCACTAAACAAATTGATTAACAGAATTTAATTATTGAACTGATTAATTCATCCGACCAGCGTTTCACATCAATATTATCACAACTCGAAAAATCGATTACGTTACACCAATTAAATAAAATAATAAAAAAAGAAAAAAAACATAAATTTGAAAATAGTAAACTTCATTATCTTTATATTAGCACTCTCCTTATTCTATTCGGCAAGCAAAACAGAATTAAAAACTCAAAGCTTTCAATTTTCCGATTTTTTTTATTGTTGATAGTGATTATAAGCGATAGATAATTGTTTGATTACCGTGCTACCGACGCCGAAGGACCGTTTAGAAAGAGCTGAAGCCAAGCGACGGCAACGCTGGTAAGTTTGGAGCCACGTGTAGGTACGAGATCCATGGACCACCGCTTTCCTTGTCGGATGAACAGTAGCGGCTCGTTCCAAAAACCACAACGGCGTCAAAGCCATGTAGTTGGCGGCGTTCTTTGGAAGATCGTCTATGACTGGCATCTCCATCACCAATTCACCGTCACCTTCTCTCTCTATGGAAATCTCTCTATTTTTTTCTTCTCTGTTTCCTCTCTTATTGGCTTTGATTTTGATGCACATTTATAGTGGGAGTCTTCATGGATGGAGAATTGTGTGGAGCCCGCCACGTAGATACAGAATTATTGCCTTTTTGGGGTTTACTACTTAATTTGGATTTTTTTTAGACTTTGTTGGGGGTTTAAGGAGTTTCCGAAATATATCTCCCTTTTTTTTGTTTACAATTTTTTTTATAGATAAAATTATTTATTTACTTTCTTTTTACATTTATTTTTTCAAATTTTTATTTAGGTGAAATTATTTATTTATTTTTTCACTTTAATTTTAAAATTTCTTAATATGTATTTTTAATAAATTATATAACTTAGCAAATATGAATTTTTGATAGGTTATATAATTTACCAAAATTTTATATCCATTTTGTTGTATAGTTTATCAAATTTTCATATATGGTAAGTTAAAAAAAAATTACATTTAAGTTGGAGAAAAAATAGTTGAGAGAAAATATTCTATAGATATTTTTAAATTTTCAAATATGAAAATATGAAAATTTTTAAAAGAATTCATATATGTAATTTTGGAAGTTTTTAATTTTGAAAAATTTTAAAAGTTATCAAATTTGTAAATTTGAAAATTTAAAAATAAAAGGGCATGAAGAGAAAAGAGAAAAAGTAATTAAATAATTTCATTTAAAATGATTTTGAAAAAAAAATGTGTTAAGAAAAAAATGAGAATATATTTAGAAATTTTTTTATCCAAGTAATTTTCTTTGAGTTTATTTTTATATAATAAAAGTTAAATCTTTTTATTTTATAAATAGCATTAAAAATTGTCATTTTTAATTAATTTTTATATATTTTATAATTCAAATTTTATTTTAAAAATTTCACGGTTAAATGAGATAATTTCTCATTATTAGAATGGTTAATTTTTATAAAAAAAAATGTGAATTACCAAAATAAATGTTTCTCTAAAATTTTTTTTACATGTATTGTTCTTATCTTTGCATTTGTTATTTATAATGGTTATAATTATCAAAAACTTTCAATGATTTTTGCATTAAAAGATTTTAAACGCGTAAGATCTTCTTCAGGTATATAATAGGGTAAAGGTTAAAGATAAATTAAAAATTTAAAAAAAAAATTGTGTATAGAAAGTATTTTAAGTTTATCCCAAAATTTTTGTTAATAGAAAAATAAAATCTTTCTTTTATTAATTTGATTTACGTTTACATTTATGTGTATAAACTTTCTCTTTTAACACTGTAGTAAAAAAGTAAATATATTATTACCACCATAAGTGACGTCATCAAATAATTAAATAAGTAAATTTTGATATGGATTAGGGAGTAATTATGATAAAAAAAATCATATTCTAAAAAGCCTAAAATAATATTTATCTAATTAAGAAATTTATTTAAAAAGGCAAAAGAAAAAACACAAAAACAAATTATTACCAAATTATTCAAGGGAAAAAAAGAAAACTTATAAGATTGGAAATATTATAAAAATTGTCTAAAAAAGAAATTATTTTTTTAAATTAAAATCATGATTAAATATTACATTTATATTATTATCTAATAATTAATTATTATATTATTAAATAATTAACTAATAAATTATAATATAATTAAACGATCAAACCCACATACTAATGTCTCCTCCTTACTACTAAATTTTTTGAAAGTATTTTGATTGATGAAAATTATCACTTGTATTAATGAAATATAGTGTGAAATAATTTATTTTTATTTAAAATAATAAAATTAAAAATATAATGATAAATTTCAATAAATTTTAAATATAATGACAAAATTCAATAATAAATAGTAGTATAATTACAAATTTGATCTCAAACCTTAGTTTTTTTGTTTTAAGTTGATTGTGATAGTGATCGAATCAGTTTGTGGCAGAATAAAATTATACATCATTTAAGCTTTGATTAAAAAAATGATGAATAGATTAGAATCAAAGTCACGTAAATTAAGGCAAACAATTAAAACATTGAAATCACTTGGAGACTAAGACTAAGACCAATGCCTACTGCCCACCAAATGCAACAATTGCCTAACAAGCTTCTTCTTAAATAATTTGTTCCCAATTAGCCAAACAATAAGTCAAGTTGAACAAGTGATAAATTTAAATTTAAATTCAACTTAAGATAAAAAAAAAAAGTTATTCTCAATTAAATTTAATTATTTAATTATTTGTATTTGAATTTAAACTCAATTTTGAATTGATATATATATAAATGAAACAAATTTAAATATAAAAATAAGTTATTATCATTTCTCTATACAAAATAAAATATGTTTTATGGTAATTTTATTTGAGAAATTTCCTTTTACTTGATCAAAAGAAAACAAAATCCTTAAGCCACCAATTTTGACCTTAGAGGCCTTTTTATTTTCAACTTGCATCCTAATTACCCAAATATAAAAGATTAGCCAAAAAGCATAGTTATCAAAATAACATTAGTGATGACAGGTCAATGGCTGTATCCCATCCTTCAATATTAAAAGCATTACATTCATTGAATATATACCATTTTGTGAATAAAATAAAGTTTAATATATAGTTCTCACTCCTTTAAAACACAACAAGACAAACCCATTTTAAAAAAAAAATTAATGCAAATTATTTATATATATATATATATATATATATATTCCAAGTTTTGGCCATATGTGTATTGTTCATTCACTCATATTGAAAGTACAAATGAATCTCAAAATTTAAACAGCATCATCAAATTGATGTAAAACTCCATAATTGTTCAGGGTAATGTGGGATTCACACAAAGACAAGTTTCAACTAATAATTCCGCATGTTTCAGTTATCATATTAAAAACAATATTAAACTTGCCCTTCCATTGCCAATGGAGATGAGGCTAAGAAATCAATTACCCTTAACTAAAGCTGATCAGGATGTTGTTGCAGAGGAAGGAGATTTGCTGAAAGGTTCCTGCTCTTCGCAGGTGAGCACATCATGGGGTCCTGCCTCCTCTCTGCCAACACCTATCAGGTCAAGGTAATGGAGATAATGGGAGATCATGTTGTTCATGGATTCACTATCACCCTGATCGCAAACTTGGTCTCCATATAAAACATTCATGGTGGTGCCAAAGCCTGGAACTCTCTTGGCTAAAGTGTCGTTCTTGGTTGGTTTCCAGTTACCAACGAAAACGTCATGGGCTGAAGGTTGATGCTTCTTGACTGGCGTCATCCACCTCCAGATTGCAGTCTGGAAAGCCAAGGTTGCATTGTCTTCTAAGTATTCTGGGTGGTTCAACAAGTCCACCTTCAGAGCCTCTCCAGTTTCTCCATAGTTGTAGTTCCTGTGAAAAAAAAAAAAAAAAAACCAACAAGAAAAAGTCAAGTTAATTTTTGAGGATTCACTATTTGAGTCTTGTTATATTATATGATATATTATGATTGAAATGTGTTTCAACTTTCAGGTCAAGTTGGTGACTGAGAAAGCACCAACAAATCGGTTCTCTTGGGACTTCAAAATTGAAAGGTTTTGGCACTGATTTTTCTTAGGACTCAGATAGAAAGGCAACTCATTCTCAAAGCATTCAGGTTCTACGCATCAAGCCCACATACCAGTAGATAGGCAAGGCACCACGGCCATGGTATGAAACTCCTGGGGTGCAAGGATAAGTATATTTGTAGTACTCATCACAATAGAATTTGCTGGGGCTCATTTCCTTGTTGTAGCATAGACCCCAGGCCAATGGTCCACCAGTAGCCACTCCATAACCACCTGAAATTTTTTTGAACCACAGCCATTATTGAAAAAGAATATACAGTTCAATGTTAACATGTATTCCAGAAGCAATAACTATCTGCTCCATTTTATCAGATTAATTTTATTAAAAGCCCAGATCATATCTAATAAAAGTAACATCGATTCTGATCAATTATCTTGAATCTTGATCACTAATTAAGCCTAGAATAAGAGACTTTAATACTTGTTAGATCAAAAAGAAACACAAACAATGGTGTCGTGGTGTAGTTGGTTATCACGTCAGTCTAACACACTGAAGGTCTCCAGTTCGAGTCTGGGCGACGCCAACTAATGCTTTTTCTGTTTTTTTGGCTTGGGTGTTGCATATTTGCCTGACAGGATCAGGATTTTCAACCGAGACTCGGCCTTTTAAGAAAACAATAGAAAAAGGAAATGGAGAAACTCACATGAAGTTTTGCTGCCCACATGCCCAAGAAAAGCAGCAACTTCCTTCATACTCTGGAGCTTTCCTCCTGTGGTTCCAAAACCATGAGGCTGATACTGAGCAGCAGCAGTAATGAAAGAATGGTAATCCCAGAACCCAACCGCATGAGCCACAGGTGTGTTACGCTTTGAAAAAAGGTTCTCAAACTGGTAGGTTTGGAAGTAATCAGAAATGGTTTGGTTGCAACAATACTGTGACCAACCTTTACATTCCCACCCTTTGTCACACAATTTCTTGCCCTTAACGATCTTCACCAATGGCTTCACTGACTCCTGGCCGTTTGCCAACGCCAGCATTATGGCCATTGTCAAAAAAACCAGCCACTTGGCTTCCATTCGTTGGTGATGATCAGAGGAATATATTTGCTGTGAGAATACTTTTTTCTTGGTAATTGGTTTGATGGAATGGAGAAACAAAAATTGGGATTTATAATATGAGGGAAGCTTGAAGATGCTGTGTTGGAGTGAAAGGCATAGAAAGTGAATTTCTAACTCATTAGGAGAGAGACAATTTTCATGGTTGATGAATGATGGTTACTAATGTCAGATTTTGCTTGCATTTTATGCTTCTTAAAATGCAAGCAAGTGAAGGCTTGAAGCAAATAAGCATGTTATATTCTTACTGTGCGGACAAGCATGGGCCTGAATCACTTGTGGCTGGGATCCATTACACTTAAATTTTAGCTTATAAGCCAACGACTTTTCGTGGGCTGAATCAAACAGATGGTTTCACCGTTTCAGACTTTCAGTGAAAAATGAAAGCCCTTTTTGCTTTATGTTCATTTTGTTCAAACCTTAATAGAAAAAAGACTTGTGCCAAGTACTGACCAGATATTTTATGATAGATACAATAATTCAATTGTAAAATTTAGATTCAATTCTCATTATTAATAATTTTTTTAATAAATCATATGTAAATTTAATATAAATTATTTCTGAAACTTTTTTCCTTTTAAATTTTTTTTCCAAAAAAATTAATGTAAGTTTTGAATTTCACTGTACTTTTAATATGATATATTTAAACTTATTATATTATCAATTTAATTCAAATATTATTTTAATAAAATTAATTTAATATAAATTTTTTTATAAAAATGTTTTTAATTATAATTATAATAATAATTTTATTATTATTTTAATCTTAGTCTGTCCAAATAAATCTTAATAATATTTAAAAAATTGACTAAAAGAAGTTGGAAAAAGTAGTGGAAACCTAGCCATGAACCTTTAAAAAATCAACTATGATACAGAAAAAGACAATAAGTGCAAAGAAAACGTGTTAAATTTAGTGTTTCATATGAAACTCACTCGTTTTCCGCGCATGAACACAGTAAATCTAATCTCTTGGTTTTTACGAAGGCAAAAGTAGCTGGGCCAAAAGCTGGACCAAACATCAAAGAACTCAAATCAAAGGAAAAAAATGACTGTCACAGCATGTTGCTTCGATTAGAGGCGCAGAGGGGGCCCTACCGCCTATGAATGTCACGTTGGCCGATCTCGTTTTATTCCAGGCTGATTGAGTTGGGGTTGATTTTTTTTTCTTTGCCGAATGCTTGCATGTCAAACCAAATATCTAAGCAAGATTCATAACCCTTGTATGATTCGATTAAAAAAAATCAACATTGGATATCAGATAATGTGTTTGATTTTTCAGAAAATATGCTTTTTCTTTCACGTACAATCTGTAATTCGAACGTGATATCTTATTTAAATTTGATTCGAAATTTATCATTTGATGTAAGTTTATGTGACAAACATAATTTAAGTAATTTTTTTTCTTAATAGTAGATTATTTAGTTACGAAATATCTTATTGAGAATGTGAACGAGTAAAACATGAAATAAATAAAATATTTTTAATTTTTATTCTCGATTTTTTATATTATATTTATTTTATATAAATTTATTTTTATTTTTATATTTATAAATATTTAATAGATATAAGTGATCCTCGTATTTATAATTTTTTAAAAAATAAAAAATAAAATTTATTTTTTATTTTTATTTTACATAATTAAGTAATTTTTTATAAATATATATATTTTAAATACAAATATATTAATTTTAATAAATTTAAAATAAATTATATATTATTACATAAAAAATTAATTTATTAAATATATATATAAATATACATAAAATACAATATAAATATTATATTATTCATCCACGTATCTTATCCAATGAAAAATTTAAAATCATATTCATTTTTATCTTCATCTCCATTAAAATAAAAATCAAATTTCTCATAAGTTTGGATAAAATTATTACTTTTTTTCACCTCACCTAAATCTAAAAAAATCTTAAAGTATTTCTGTGACATAAAAATATAAAAAATTTTCTCATATTTATTTTTTTCTTTCCTTCCTACCAAGCATAATAAAACTATAAATTTTGCTCATATAGGAGACTCCAACAAGTCAATGAATCAACTTGACCAATAACAACACTCCTTCTCACTTCAAATTTGGTTTTTTATATTTCCCCTTCAAAAGTACCAAAGTAAAGCTTGCTTGGAAAATTAATAAAATAAAGCAAATGATGAGAGCTTTTTGAATCGCCAAAGTTGCTTTTGATAATGAAATTTTGATCTCTTACTTGTATACATTATCCGAGACCCCAAACAAAATAATTGATAGATTAATCATGATTATGGGTCTTAATTTAATCTTGCCTTACTTTAATATTTTATCTCCTGTTTTTTTTTTATTTTTTAAATATAAATTTACACCAACCATAATTAAAATAATAAATATGTGACAATCTTTTAATTTTATTTATAAAATTAAAAAATTACATTATCAATATATAAAAATGAACTTTTTTAAAACTTATAACCATAATCAAATATATTAAAAGAAATAAACCAAACTTATAACAGACAAATCAAAATATAATTGGATGAACCTAAAATTTTTAGAATTTCTTTCTTATCATCGAGATCAAGCCTTTTTTCTTATCATTCAGACAAAGCCTCGCTGACACGTAATATAAAACTCTAGGCCATTAAATTCAGTAAAAATTTCTTTAAAATTAATGAAGTAGTTTAATGACACGTTTTAAGAGTTTAGGTTCGATTCTTATTATTAACAAAATTTTTAATAAAAAATTTATAAATTCAATATAAATCATTTGCATGTATTTTGATAAAAAAAGTTTTCATCCACTTTGAATTTTATTGCACCAAAAAAATTAAGTCGATCAATGTTTAGAAAAAATCGATCAAAAGTAAGGAAAAGTATTGAAAATCTAACCATAAATTATATCTAATAATTTAAAATATAATGCAGTGACACAATATAAAAATAAAATTTAAATATAATATCATATAAAATTATAACAATAATTATATATAAATTTAATAAAATAAAAAAAATTATATTTTATATTTTTATTTCTATACAAATTATGATATATAATTTTTATATAAAAATAATACAAATATAAAAAATTTTAATATTTTAATTAATAAAAATATATGAATCATCAAATTTATAGTAAACACCTAAAAAACCAACTATGACACAGAAAAGACAGTAAATGCAAAAATAACGTGTAAAATTTATTGCTTATGAAAACAATAAATCTAATCTCTTCAATGTTTCCAAAATAGAAGCATCTGGTCCAATTGCTGGACCAAACATCATATATTAACTCAAATCAAAGGAAAATATCTATATCGTACTAGGTCGCTTTGACTAGAGACGCAGAGGGGGACCTATGAATGTTACATTGGCCAACCTCGCTTAATTGGAGGCTGTTTGAGTTGGGGTTGATCTTTTTCTTTGCCAAATGCTTGCATGTCAAACCAAATATCTAAGCAAGATTCACGACCCTCGTATGATTCAATTAAAAAAATAAACATTGGATATCTGATAATGTGTTTGATTTTTCAGAAAACAAGAACTCAAACATGATGTTTTATCCAAATTTGATCCTGATTTTATCACTCGATGTAAGTTCATGTGGCAAACATAATTTAAGGTTTTTTTTTTTTTTTCACAAAAAAATGGTAGATTCCTTGATTATGAAATATCTTCTTATTAAAGATGTCAATCGATAAAAATGAGATAAATCGAGTATTTTCAATTCTCATTCTTTATTTTTTATATTATAATAATTTTCATATAAATTTATTTTTATTTTCATGCTCATAGATATTTAATTGGTATAAATGATTCTTGGATCTATAACTTTAAAAAATATATATATTTTTTTATTTTTTTATTTTTATATTGTACATTTAAATAATTTTTTTATAAATATATGTTTTTTAAATACAAATCTATTAATTCTAATAAATTTAAAATAAAATTTATATTATTAAATAAAAATTAACTTATTAAATATATATGAATACATAGGAATATAGGATACAATACAGGTACTATATTAGTCATTTTGTACCTAATAAAAAATTTAAAAATAAACCTATTTTCATTTTTTTTATTAAAATAAAAATCAAATTATCCATTAAAATTAGATAAAATTAACATCTTTAATTCTCACAACAACTATTGTCCTTTTTCCACCTTACCTAAGTATAAAAAGAAATCTTAAAGTATTCTAACTGTGCTATAAAAACATAAATATTTTCTCCTATATATATATATATTTTTTTTTTTCTCTTTCCTCCCTACCAAACACAATAATGAGACTATAAACAAGTCAATGGATCAGCTTGACCAGGAATAATACTTATCCACACTTCAAATTTGGTTTTTTATATTTCCCCTCCAAAAGTACTACAGGAAAGCTTACTTGGAAAATTAATAAAATAAAGCAAAAGATTAGAACTTTTCAAATTGCCAAGGTTGCTTTTGATAATCAAAGAAGCTTAATTTAATCTCTTAAGCATTTCAAAACTTGCATTTTTTTAGTACTATCCTAGACCCCAAACAAAATAATTGATAGATTAGTCATGATTATGGGTCTTAATTTAATCTTGCTTTACTTTAATATTTTGTCTCATGCTTTTTTTTTATTTTTAATATAAATTTAAACCAACCATAATTTAAAAATAGGTGACAATCTCTTAATTTTATTTATAAAATTAAACATATCAAATTTATTCTTTTTTTTTTCCAAAACACATATATAAATTCCACTAGTTTGCTATCAAGTTGAAGCTTGAATTAAATAACCCTATGCTTAAGTCTGGATGTTTTTAATATTCAACTTGAATTGAACAAAATTTTTAATTAAAAATTTCAAACACACACACATCCACACGCGCGCACACACACACATATATATATTATACAGATATATGCATACATACACAAAGTAAGTATACAAACTTTTAACTCAAAATTGTTTTTATTTGATGATAATTACGATTAAAAGTGTAAATGAAATATCAATATTCACAAGTTATTTTAGTTCAACTTAAATAAATTTTAAATTTGATTTAATTATTATCTAATTGAGTTCGATCAACTTAATTTATTGAGTAAATTGAGTTTAAACATTTTAATGTTTAGTTTAAATAATTTATAAATTTAATCGAATTTTTAAATTTTTATATAATTTATTATTTTAATTATAAAAATTATTATTTTACTTATATTATATATATTCAAATTTAAACTCGAGTTTAAACATATAATTAAATTTAAAATCAAATAAAAATTTAAGTTTATTTTTTATTAAATAATTTTATTTTTATTTTAAATTAAATTTAATTTTAAAAATTAAAATTCAATTAAATTTAAATTAAATTTTAAGTAACAAATTTTAAATTAAATTCAAGTTCGACGAAATTTATACTTTATCAACTCATCTGACTCAATAATATTTATAATAACTGTAATTGAGTTCAATTTTGATTATTTTAAAATTTGTTTGTTAAATATTTTTATTTATTATTATTTTTTATAAAAAAATTATTTAATAAAGTGTGCTTTTTTTTTTTTTTATAAAAAGAAAACTATATAATAAAAAAACAATTCGGCCAGGGAGAAACAAATCTGGTGCTAGTTCACACACAGACAATCAAAGTACGTCTGGACCGAAAGAAACCAAAATCGCAAACCATCATTCATTGAGCTAATAGCATCGGCCTGATCGAGTGGGCCCATCGTTGAATTCAAAGGCGTTAGGTGTGTGACCCGACAGCAACTAACCGTAGATCGTCATCCACAGAAATGGGAACGCCTTTTTCTTGATAATTACTACATACCTAATAATGTATTAAGCTGCCAAAATTTTCTATGATATTCATTTTCTTCCTTTTTTTTTTTTTAAATTTTCGTTTTAAACTTCCATTTTCCAATCTCGAAACACAGGCCTCGCTTTAAACAAGGTTAGCTTTTAGGCTAAGCTGTTTTTAATTTATTGATCGTTTTTGTTATATTTTGTTCTGGTAATCTCGTTGTTATGCCTTTAATTGTTTTGAAATTAACTTTTTATTCAGTGTGGAGAGTTACTTAAATCGAAAATTCTTCTGGGAGTTCGATTCCGGCGATGGACGGTGGCGGTTCAAGCCGACTCTCCGGCGCTGAGATTCACGGGTTCCATACATTGAAAGGTCCAATTTGTTTTAGTAATTTCCTTTTTGTATATTATTTTTCTCAATCTAAGAATTGCTCTGTAAAGTATGTTAGAACTTGATGTGCTAACTTGTTTAGCTTTTTGGAAGTAATTTCTTGCTTCTTGGCTCAAAATATTGAACAAATGAAGCTTTGTAGGAGCTTTTGCTCTTCGAGAGCTAGAGAAGTAGTTGATTTTGTCAAATTTACATAAGAAATTGCATAAAATGTTGTGTAAAGTTAGTTCAAGCTTCACGGAGTGTTAATTTTGTTCTATTAATTGGTTTGCATCATGCTCCATAGTACAGTTATGTGTATGTCTCTCTTTTGCTAATTTTAGTTTCTATTTATTTTTTTCCAAACCCTTTCTGTTTGGTGGACAGATTTGGATTTTCCAAATATGATGGAAGAAGCCAGGTCAAGATGGCTACGTCCAAATGAAATTTATGCTGTACTTTGCAACCACAAGTATTTCACCATCAATGCGAAGCCAGTGAACTTGCCGAAAAGTAACTACTGATAATACTTAATTCCTTTTCTTTCCTCCATTTTTCATTTTTTCCTGAATTTTCATGAAGCAAGAATCTATTCTGTGTTTAATCGCTAAAAGGTCTACTTAAAGAAATAAATGCCTGAGCTGTACCATACTTTTTTTCTTACCACTGGTTATTCTAAGTTCTGCTTAGTTTATAATAAGAGTTAATAATAAAGTTGCCGATTGAGCTAAAATTTAGGCTCCAATTGGTTGATGCTTTTGTTGTTTGTCTATTGTTTCTATTCATCTTTTGTTTTTTGCCTTTTGCTTTCTATTCAAATAGCAAACTGTGAAAGCGTCAACCAAGTGGAGGCCTATTTGTTTAATTTGATGCAATATTTCCATTTGGATTGCCAAAAGTCACCATGTTAGAAGAGAATGTCCAAGTTGCATTACCAATGGCTTTAGGAAATTATAACTTGGCTTTCAAATGCTGTATATGCCATCTTGTGTAACTTCTATACTTCAACTAATGAATCGGGAAAAAGTGTAATTCTTATATAATTACTAGTTGTATTCTTGGTGTTATAGGTGGTACTATTGTATTTTTTGACCGAAAGATGCTCAGAAACTTCCGAAAAGATGGCCATAACTGGAAAAAGAAAAAGGATGGAAAGACCGTTAAAGAAGCTCATGAACACTTAAAAGTGAGGTTTTCTTGTTTCATATTTCATAAGGTCTTATAAATAGCACAACCTGTTATCGATGCAGCTTATTATATCTAAGTGAATGATGCATTTTCTGGTATTTTGAGATTCAAATTCTTGGTTTTTGTAATTGTCCTATTTTTACTTCTCTCTCTTGTTTGTATTATTTGTTTGTACATATGCATCACATGTTATGGCAAAGATTATAAGATTCCACTATTTTCATACACTGTATTCTCTTTATGCATTAAGATTATCCTATGTGTTAACTGTTCTATCACAAGTTTCTTCTTATTGCTTTGGAGTATTAGTTTCACTTGTATAGAACCTTCTGGTTGCTGCATCTATGTGTATGCTTGCTCCTTGTTTTTCTTTTTAACTCCTTACCTTAAATATATTGAATTTACTTGCATTTTACCTCCCATGACTTGGGAATTTATGTTTTTTGTTGTTTTGAATGGCCAACATGTAATTATTTTGAGAAAGCATAATTCATTGAAATCTCATTTTATTTCACTCTTCAGATTGGTAATGAAGAGAGGATTCATGTATATTATGCACATGGCCAAGATAACCCAACCTTTGTTCGCAGATGTTACTGGCTACTTGATAAGTATGTAACTGACATCTATAAGTTAACCTCATCTATCTAGTCCCCACATTATTTGATTTGAATAAAAATCACGAATCTCTCTCTCTCTCTCTCTCTCTCTCTCTTGTTGCTGTGTGTGCTAATGTTTGGTCATGATTAGCCTGATCTTATATTATTTTCTCTTTTGCTTCAGGACTCTGGAACACATAGTTCTTGTTCACTACCGCGAAACACAGGAGGTTGGTGTTAAAATACTAAAAACTGAAAACTTGGAGGCACTGTCTCCAACGAATAGCAGTTTTTATGTTTCTTTATGCCTCATAACCAGTTAGTGACCAACCTTTGTTGATTTGTGGTACAGTTGCAGGGTTCTCCAGCCACACCTGTGAATTCAAATTCCAGCTCAAATTCTGATCAGTCTACTTCTTTGCTTGTTACGAAAGAGTTTGATTCTGGAGCTGGTAATGCATATTATGAAGGTGAGAGAGGATGTCTAGGTGATGTTGAATTTTCTAGAAATTAAATTATGTAAACAAATAATGGGAATTTATTATTTGACTAGGAAAAAAACTCACTAACGGCATAAACTTTGTTATCATGTCTTTTGCTACACATAAATACATCATGTTCTCATTGATTGCTGTTCTGGAAAGTGAACAGAACCCAGTGATAGTGTTAAAGTCAGAAATCACGCAATGACGCTTCATGAGATTAATACGCTTGAATGGGATGAGCTTGTGGTGACGAATGATTGTAATGATTCAGCTGTATCTAGAAGAGGTAACTGACTAGTTTCTATTTTAAGCAGTAGCACTAGTTTAATTGCTGAATTATTAACCTAATTTTCTGTGATGGCAGACAAGAATTCTTGCTTTGACCAAGGTAACCAAATAACAGTAAATGGCTTCTCAAATGATGTAAGCAGAACCAGTTCAAAGAAAATATCATTTTCTTATTTGTTTTTGTTTTTCTTCTTCTTTTAGCCTAAATGGCTATTTGTTTGGACTGTCTATGTATGCAAATAGAGTTTGTTGTTTCTCATCTTATATTAGTAAATAATTTCTCTGCATGCATGTAATACCCAAAAATATAATGCATGTTGTGCAAAAGCAGGAAAGTGAACAGATAGACTTCTGAACTAATTTTTAGATCTCCTTAACATTTATGATTTTTGTTTAACTTCTTGAAACATATATGTACTTTCTTACATACATATATAAGTTTTGCACGTGTGGAAGCATCTGCGTGGGTGTCTTCATAATCTTCTCTTATTTTTGTATGTTTATCTTCTTTTTAGTTTGACATGTAAACCATCATTTCTCTTTATTGTGAAGTTCACATGAATATTCTCCTTTTTATTATTTTGTATTACTCTTACTGCTTAATAAATGGTAATCACTCAAGTTGCTTCACTTTTGTAGGGTGACCCTATCTCTGCCTATAATTTATCAACAGAAATTTCATTGCTTGGTAATTTAGTTGGGTCAGTTGCTCAGAGTAATAATGCTTACCTCAACACCCCAGATGCTGTTTGCTATCAGATATCAGGTGTCCAAGTAAATTCTAATGTGCAGAAAGACTCTAGTGCCATTGGGACAGGCGAATCATTGGACCTTCTGGTCAATGATAGTTTACAAAGTCAGGACAGTTTTGGGAGGTGGATGGACCGTGTTATGACTGAATCCCCAGGTTCAAGGGATGATCCTGTGCTAGAATCATCAATTTCATCTTGTCAAGATTCCTTCACCTCTCAAGAGCAAATATTTACCATAACTGAAGTCTCACCTGCATGGGCCTATTCAACTGAAAAGACAAAGGTTTTTTTTTTTTTTATGAAAAAAGTTCTCTCTCTCTCTCTCTCTCTCAGTTTTTGGGTTGTTAGAGACCATCCCTGCCATTGCAGCTACTGCAATTTCATGGAATTGATGCTAGAAAACTATTCATTTTAATAACATGCATGAATTTTGGTTGCTTTAATGTGTTTTCACCTTGGTTTATCTATTAATTTGCAGATTTTAGTCACTGGAGTCTTTCATCAAGCTTATCAACATCTTGTTAAGTCCAATTTATTTTGTGTATGTGGTGATGTATGTAACCCAGCAGAAATTATTCAGGTTGGGGTATATCGCTGTTTGTTATCACAACATGCCCCAGGACTAGTGAATCTGTATATGAGCCTTGATGGACATAAACCCATCAGCCAAGTTTCTAGTTTTGAATATCGTGCTCCTTCATTGCATGATCCTATAGTTCCTCTGGAAGATGAGTCAAGATGGGAGGAATTCCTATTGCAGTTGAGGCTTGCTTATTTGCTTTTCTCTACTTCTAAGAGCCTTAACATTCTATCGGGTAAAGTGTCACCAAATTCGCTGAAGGAGGCTAAGAAGTTTGCTCAAAAGACTACTAACATATCCAATAGCTGGACATATTTGATTAAGTCAATTGAAGAAAATCGAGCTTCTTTTACACAAGCAAAAGATAGTTTATTTGAAATTGCTTTGAAGAACCGGTTAAAGGACTGGCTGTTGGAGAGAATAATTGAAGGCAGTAAAACAACCGAATATGATACTCAAGGTCAAGGAGTGCTTCATTTGTGTGCCATTCTTGGTTATGCTTGGGCCATTCATCTATTTTCATGGTCTGGCTTGTCACTGGATTTTCGTGATAAACAAGGATGGACAGCTCTTCATTGGGCAGCATATTATGGGCGGTATGTGTTTTTGCAATTGTTAATATTTTTTTGCTATGCTTGATTTCCTAAATTTACTGCTTGACTTGTAAAGCTTGCTTCATTTTTTTGTAAACTTGAACCTTTTAAGTATCTTATTGTCCTATGCCATGACAGTGAGGCTGTCTATTGCTTCTCTTTCTAGGGTTTTTAAGTTCTTATCTTAGTTAATCATGTATTTTTTTTAGTTCCTTTTCTGTGTGTGATGAAATTTAAAGGAGTTGAATACAGTAATAGTAATGTTGCCGCATGATCTTATTTCTGTCTGCAATCTGTTTACCAAGGTATGCTCGTACTAAGAATTTGTACTTGGTTTTTTAATATAACCGTCAATTTTCAAGTGTCTTTGAATTGTTTATTTGATCTCAAAAACCTTCCATTGCAGGGAAAAAATGGTTGCTGTTCTTTTATCTGCAGGGGCAAAGCCAAACTTGGTGACAGACCCCACCACCCAAAATCCAAGTGGTTGCACTGCGGCTGATCTTGCATCTTTGAAGGGTTATGATGGGATAGCTGCTTATCTTTCAGAAGAGGCTCTAGTAGCACAGTTCAATGATATGGCTGTAGCTGGAAATGCTTTTGGCTCTCTGCAAACCAGTAAAACAGAGGCAACAAATTGTGATAACCTTGACGAAGATGAACTATATTTGAGGGAAACTTTAGCAGCTTATAGGACAACTGCTGATGCGGCTGCACGCATACATACCGCATTCAGGCAGCATTCCTTCAAAATACGAGCTAAAGCAGTTGAGTCTTCCAATCCTGAGTATGAAGCGCGAAATATAGTTGCAGCTCTGAAGATTCAACATGCCTTTCGCAACTATGAGACCAAAAAAAAGATGGCTGCTGCTGCGAGTATCCAATATAGGTTCCGTACTTGGAAAATGCATAAAAATTTCGTTAACATGCGTCGCCAGGCTATCAAAATCCAAGTAAATGCTCTCCTTTTTCTGCTTTTTGATTTAGTGTTTGTATGTTATATATATTATCAAAACCCAATTTTTTATTGTTCGTGACTGTAAACAGGCATGATTTCTCTTTAATCGGTCCAATTAAACTGAGTCTGACAAATTTCAAAGTTTCTCATATTTGCAAGTTCAGAAATTCATGTTTGAATCCTTTTTTTCCTTTTGAACGAAATGTCTTCTTTTCATCTGGATGTCTGATTTTTTACACAGTATACTTATGACTTAAAATATTGTGCAAGAGTACAGATTATTTTCCCTGGTTCTTTCTGTCTGAGGAACCGAGGATTGCTTAGAATAGAAAAGATTCTTTGACAATTGACATCACATGAAAATTTAATGCAGGCTGCTTTCCGGGGCTTCCAAGTAAGGAGGCAGTACCGTAAGATTTTGTGGTCAGTTGGTGTGCTTGAGAAAGCAATTCTGCGATGGCGATTAAAGAAAAAAGGTTTTCGTGGGCTACAAGTTAACACAGTTGAAGCAGTTGCAGAGCAAAGGCAGGAAAGTGACACAGAAGAGGACTTCTACAAAACCAGCAGAAAACAAGCTGAAGAACGTGTTGAGAAAGCCGTTGTACGAGTTCAATCTATGTTCCGCTCAAGGAGAGCACAGGAGGAATACCTGAGAATGAAGAAGACTCGTGATCTAGCAGCGGTAGGTGAATTCTCTAAAATTTCCAAGTTGTCTCTATTTTGTAGATCAGTTTACCAACAATATTCCGTTTTTTACAGTTGGAATATGAAAGCCTTCTCAGCCCTCCTTCTGATATGGATGCTAGAAGACATTGAAGATCAGAACGATCACACCTAAGTCGAAGAGTAACCCTAGGGAGCTGTACATTTGTAAATGCAGTTGATGTCTAGTCGTACCCTTCTCACTGTTTTAAGATTTCGAGGGGGGTGGTAATTGGTAAGTTATTGCGGATCCTTAGTCGTTTCGTATTAGGTTTTGATCTGTAATCTAGTTAGTGCTTTGAGTGTTAAGACCTAGGTGAAACGTAGATATAAAGGTATTAAAGCCAATATTCCTCTTGGTGTGTGTTCCATGCATTGCATCATCGTTGAGCCAAGATTAGCGTATTAGTTTTCTGATGTCTGCAGGATGTTTATACCATTAATATTAGTGTCGTTCTAAGTGCAGGGTTGCTTGTTCTTTGCCATATGAACAAGTCCGTTAGCAAAGGTGTTCATGAATTGGGATTGACATATTTTTAATAGTTGAGATTGTCGAGATTTAAACTTAATCATTAAAATTAAAAGTTTAATACTATATATCGAGTGATTGATTTCAGTCTGGTTTTTAACAGGGGATTGACATTCTCCTTTAGGCTTGATTATATCGAAAATATTAGTAATTTATTAAAAAAAAATTTTGTTAATATTTTGCATATATTTTAAAACCAAATTTAAATAAAAATAATATTTGATTGAAAAGAACTTCTGAACAAAGATTACACATATTTTCAATTTATACTGCGAAGAGATTTCATTACCCAAATCACAAGCTATCACACGGCAGGAAAATTGGTGGCCAAGTAGGTAGCCCTGTTTCTTGGTTTGCCTACTTACTGAGAGAGCTACCCGAAGCCATCCCATCTTACGCACGATGCAGCACGTGAAAACTTTGAGGAGACGGACGTTAGTGTAATGGCATACTTAAGCTTCCACTGGCCAGTCGTGAAGCTCAGGTTAAGGGCGAGAAAAAAAAATAGTTTAAAATTATAACATTTAGTTCAATATAGATTTGTGTGTTTTTTTTTTTGTTTAATATGAATAAAAATCAAATAATAAATGTATATATTAAATTTAGATAAAATTTTAAATCAAGAGATGAAAAATAAAAAAAAAACGAATCGAATTATATATATTTTTAGTTTTATATATCTTTTCAAATTTTATAAAATAAATATAATAATTTTATATCAAATTTTTTTAAATATATTAAAATAATATATAAAATAAAAAAATTAAAATTGATAAATTGATAAATCAAATCAAATCAATAAAATTTGATTTTATTCTATTTAAATCGAATAAAAATTTGTTACGAATTTAAATCATATTTTAAAATTTTATAATATTATACAATATTTAAAAATAATCAAATCTAATCTAATTTGATCAATCAGAGCTATGTAATAACGTAACTCATCCTCTAAGGCAGCGTATGGCAGGTCGATCGTGTTCCCTAGAATGAGGAAAGGGACATTTGCTAGTGACTCATTAGAAAGGAGGGCATCCACCTTTTTTTGACTCTGCAAATCTCTCCTTATCGTAAGCATCAACCTACGTTAACAATTAAGATGAGCTTTCACTTTAGCAACAAGCAAAAACAACCAAATTGAACAATGAAGTAATCATCATTAATATGAACAAGTATATACAAGGATCTGGGTAAAAAGTTGCCATACTTGAAAATTACTCGCATGGAAGATAAAAGGAATTGATGGACATGATGTACCTAAAAGGAATGCAAATCAAACCATGATAGTCCTTCCAGACTCTACAAGCAATCTGATCGCCACCCAAATCAAGGGCCTTGAATTTGATCTTCCCTATGCCTCGATCCTCTGTTGTTGGGTACTACGATATGATAATTAAAATATGATATAAATGTAATACAAAAAAATACGAAAATGATACGATTTAAAATTTTAATAATAATTATATATAAATTTAATAAAACAAAAAATATATTTTATATTTTCGTATTGACATAAATTTTAATACATATGTTTTATATAAAATACGATATAAATATATAAATTTTAATATTTTATAAGTCGTATCAAAAGCTCTAGTGTAAGTTTGTAATAAGCACCAATCAGAAACATAACAAAAAAAATGTTTCCTTCTCAACTCAACTGTAGTCTGACAGGAATACGGGGCGAGAACAACAAAATCCTTCAGTTCTCTACTTGATATATTGAGAGAGCCACTTGAAGCCGTCGCCATATCCCATTTTGCAGACGATGCTGCACATGAAGACCTCAAGGGGTCAAACACTGGAGTCTGTAAGATTCACCTTGCCCTTGCCAGTGGTGAAATTGGTCAGCCCGAGATGATATCGAAGATCATCTTCTGAAGCTGCATAGGGAATATCAATCTTGTTACCTAAAAAGAGAAATGGAACATTGGCCAGCACCTCGTCCGAAAGGAGGGCATCTAACTCTCTTTGACTCTGCAAACCTCTCCTTTTCATAGGCATCAACCAGCTCACCAGATCAAATAGAGTTTGCAGCATTGCCATTTCACATATAATGCCTTCTAAAGGAGTTGCGAAATCAGCAAAAAAAGATGATCAGAAGCTTAGTCATTACATTATTATTAGGAGTTATCAAATGCTAGGTCCAATGATTAACTTGAAATTGGAGAAGGATTTAAGAAAACATTGTGTAAAACCAAGGATAATTTCTTTTCTTCGGAAAAATTACAACGAGGTATGCATGCTAATGCAAACTAGTTTCTACTATGCTGATCATGAATGGAAGTATAATTTTGAGATGGCTCCTCTTCTAAACTACTTTGCCAAAGTTGAGATTGATGTATGGAAAGCTACTATAGAACACCTCCCAGGAAATAAAAGAAAAGGTGCTATCAGCGAACTTCCATTGTTGATATCTGCCTCCCATGAATCAGTTAAACATAAGGATAGTTCATCTGGGATTATGAAGGCAGAAACCGAAATATATCCAAGTATGTTACTTGGAAAAAGGTTCAAGCAAAACAAAGTAGATAAGAAAACAAAGTTTTGCTTGGAAACACTGAACCAGCTCTATCAAGGGTTCATATTTGATGCACTGTTAGATGCTATATACAGTGAATCACACAATAACAAAGGTGTGATTGGTTCGGTGTGTATAGATGCTACACACCTATAATGCATCAAATAAAACTTTCCATCATTTATGAGCATTGACACCAAAAATCCCGAAATAAAAGGGAAAAAATCTTTAAAAATTGAGTCAGTAACTCGAAGATGAGCAAAAACTGAGAAAAGAAAAGAAGCAAATCTAAATCTGTCATTGATAAGCTTTGAAGCCAAATCATTGTTCTTACCAGTCAAATACAATAAGCAGACAAAAAACACTCAGTTTAGAGAAGATAATATCTATGTTTGATAACTATTGCAAAACATCTAATGGCATTTGCATTGAACAGGAATGAACAAAAACTAGAGAAATTCATAGCTCTCATTAGCCACCCACCAGTCCACCAATAGGCATCAATAAGCAGATTCAATCACATAAAGACATATAAATCATGGAGAAGATGAAGATTATACTCAAAAATAAATCAGAAGAAAAAGAAAAACACTAGACCTTAGCATAGTAATCTTTCCAGACACGGCAAGCGATCTAGTGACCACCCAAATCGAAAGCTTTGAACTTGATTTTGCCTATACTCAGTTCCTCAGATGTTGGGTACTGGGTTGGTTGATGTTGAACTAATCTCTACAAGATACAATTATAAATCATCAATCTCTGCAATACCCAGAAACAAAAAGTGGGAATCTTTAATATACCTCATCTTTCAACATGTGAAGAAGGGTGGTCTTGCCAGCATTGTCAAGTCCCAAAAGCAGAATCTTAGCCTCTTTTTGCCATAAACCCAAAGATACAAGAACCCCATAAAACCAATCCAATAAAAACATGGCTTGTTCAGTAGTATGGGACTTGAGTGAATCTAGAGGAATCTGGGAGAGACAGAAAGATGCAAGACCAGATCTTTTTCTCTTGATTATAATGGCAGATCCAACTTTTGGGATCCAAAGGGAAAAGGAGAAACAAAAATACGCCTTTTATTGTCTCATAAATGTGTGTTTATTTCCTTGGATTTTGGTCAAACAAACATAACTTTGACTAAAAAAAAAAAAAAAGAGGCAGAAACCCACTTAATCGTATAGAGATGTAGATGGTTTGGATGGAATACAATTCGATTTAATTTTTTGAATAATACGTAAAATTATAAATTTTTAAAATGAAATTTAAATTTCAATTAAATTTTATATAATTTAATTTAAATTACATTTTATCCATTTAATTTGTTGATGTTTTAGATTTAATTATTTATTTTTTATCTATTATATTTTAATATAATTTTTAATATATTTAAATAAATTCAAATATAAAATATTTATTTTTATTTTACAAGAATTTAAAATATAAATTAATAAAATATATAATTCAATTAATTTTTTTAATTTAAAATTTGAATTTAATATATATTTAATATTTAAATTTAATTTAAATTGAATAAAAAAATTTAATTTAAATTAAATTAAATATCACGATTTCGTAACTATTTTTTATGTTTTTCGTTTTTTTTCACCTTTGCAACCGAAAAAAACAAATTGGGGGCATTTTCGTCATCAAGTATCAAGAATTAGGGTTCAAACTTCCCCTAATAAAAGGCCCAAGCTTTTCTTTTTTGTATCTCTCCTCCATCCAAAAACCCTAGTCAGAGCTGCAGCTTCTCGTTGGCTTCAGGTTAGCTTCTAACTCGAACTCGATCAAACTTCTGTCGAAAAGGAAGTCATTTCTTCAGAAAATCAAATTAACACTGTTTTGTGGATTTGGGGTGAGCAGAGATGGCAAAGTCAAAGAATCACACTGCTCACAACCAATCTTACAAGGCTCACAAGAATGGCATCAAGAAACCCAAGAGGCACCGTCACGCTTCTACCAAAGGGGTATCCTTTGTTCTCTTCTAGTCGATTTTTTAGTCAATTTTTATGCTTTTTATTTTTTTTTTATGAAAATGCATTTTTTTTTTTACTTGTGGGTATGTATAGATGGATCCAAAGTTCTTGAGGAACCAGAGGTATGCAAGGAAGCACAACAAGAAGAGCGGAGAGTCTGCCACTGAAGAAGAGTAAATTTTACTGGAAAAAGCAAATCTAGCCATCTTTAGTGTTTTCTAATTGGGGCTTTTTTGTAATAGAATTTGGTGTTTATTTACTATCTTCTCAGCTTTAGTTGAATTGTTTTTATGGGGTTGTTGATTATCTTTGTTAGAAGAGATTTGAAGCTGTGAGCTTATTCATATCAAGAACCTACTTTGAGTTATTTTCTGTTCCGTCTTTTTCTTGAGTCCAGCACTTTATCAACATTTGGTGGCATATTCTGTTCAAGTATTAGTTTAAGTAATTTGGCATGGAAATTTTGGATTTTCAAGCTGTGGATGTTGCCTGCATGGTTGACATGGGGGAGATTTTATGATTTTCATTTTGAAATTGGAGGATTCATGGTTGTTGCTTTGCGCTAGGTCTTGTGCATTATGATCTAGTAGAAAATCCAGAAAGAAATCCTGGAATTGTTGTTGATTACTGGCACAGTATCAGTTTTTTTTTTTTTTTTTTGGGGGTACTAGTCGTAGGCCATGAATCACAATTCACAACACTTGCTATTGAAGCTGGTCTGGACAGATCCTTTAAACAATGCTTATGGATTTTACAGTTTCTTTTGAGTGGTCAGAATTTATATTTTTAGCAACACTAATTAGAATTGTGAATCTTATTTGTTTATGGTATGCTTGCATGCAAGAGTTTAGAATTTGGGTAGGGGATTCTATATTTAAAATTTGATTACAGTTTTGCCTTGGGATCTTGAATGAGGATTTCTATAGAGAACTTGGGTATACGTAGTAAACTTGACAGTTCGTGTATTTATATTGTGTAAAATATTAAAATTCATTTATTCATGCTGCGTTTTATAGTAAAATTATATGTCATAATTTATATCAACATGAAATCATAAATTTTTTTTTATTATGTTAAATCAATATAAAGTTATTATTAATATTTTAAACTGTCAATTTTGTGTTTTATTTTAGTATTGCATTTGTATCATATCATCGGACCTCCAACTTCTTTTAAATTGCCAACCCATTGTTTTGTTATAATTTAGGCGACTCCTTGTGGGGGAGAATTTGGATGGTTGTTGCTCTATTTTGGATAAGCCATGGATTTGCCTTGTGGTCTTGAATGATAATCTGTATAGGGAACTTGGATTTAAGTTACTTGTTCTGAGTTCTGACTGTTTCCTAGATTCTGTGATCGATTTCCCGCAGCAGATTTAGATGCTCATTTATAGCCACTCTTGGCATCATATTTGTACAGTTATTCTCGTGGTAGGGACAATTTTCAACGTAGTTTTCTTTAAACTACTTTGGAATGAAAACAAAATTTAAATCCTCAATTATTTCCACAAAGGTCAAGTAATACAAACTTTCAAAATGAAAATAAATTATCAGTAGCAGGGGTATCTCTGCATTACATTTGACAACAACTTGACAAACAACGAAACTAAGCCGCAAAAGACTTGAGTCACAACTATCACCAACACGAGTAAATTCCTCCCGGAAGTTTCCTCTCGTAGGAAGGCTGTTGTGCTGACTTGTAAGAAACGTGTTTCCTTGATGCTTGAAAATTGTATGCTTTTTTTATAGTGTCGAGAAGCTTAGACTGCAACTGGTTCACTTACCGGACTACTTGAAGCAGGGGCTTTAACCTGGTTATGAAAAAAAAGATTGGATGGGAAAAAATATCTTGTCATGAGCTTGAAGAAATTACATGCAATCATATGGTGTTGGATGATCTTAAAATGCCAAATGCAAAGATCAGAAGCTCACTTTTGCTGATTTAAATAGTTCATCAAGAACTTCAGACAGTGTTGGATGTGCGTGAACTGCAAATTTTATGTCCTGCATGGTGAAAGTAAAGAGTCATAATTACAAGCTCATACAGCTAAAAAGACTGGGTTTTCAGGTTAGAAAGTGAATCATAAACATTTTGGTTTTTGCACAAAAGGCACACCTGGATACGTGTCCCTAAAGCTATGGCATTTGATGCCTCGTGGATGAGGTCTGCTGCATGCAAGCCAAATATGTGAACTCCGAGAATCTCTCCATTGTCAGGTCTGTATATCAACTGCACGAAAAGAACAAGGGAAAACTTGGCAACTACACCAACAGACATGGAAAATGTTCAAAAGAGAATAAAAGCAAACAGAAGAATAAGAAACCATAGTCCTTCATTGTTCGATTATGCTCTATCACAGAAGTTAAAACTTCTTTCCTTGATATTCTTATTTTATGAGATCAGCACTTTATAAGAGATGGTATAAGTCTCAATTAGTTGTCCTTTTAGAATTTGTTAAATTATGTATCAAGCATTTTTAGAAAATCGGGAAACCAACTTTTCTACAATGGAGAACCACATGGAAGAAAAGAAAACAATTCATTTCTCTTTTTGTTATATCTTTGTCAAGTTTATTGATTTAGTTTCCATAGGAGATAAGAGTCAAGTAAAATACCTTAGCAAGTCCCTCCCCTTCATTTTCTGCCAGTGCCTTTGTGTTAGCCTTGAAACTTGTTTTGGCAATTCCTACTTCAAATCCTTCCTTCTCACCTTTCTCTCTTGCTTGAGGCTGTGTGAAGTTAGAGCAATGTCAAAATTTAGATAACACCATAAGAAGAGCTTCTTAGGTAATAAAAAATAAAATAAAATAAATGGCAAGAATATAAGGCTACATGGAAAATTTTATATACCAATTTAAACTTAATAATAAATAAAAAGTCGAGGGTTTGTAGGTCAGTATTCACCTCTGTCAACCCAACCATGCTTATTTCAGGGTGAGTGAAGCAGGCTGCAGGGATGCTAAGGTGATTAAGCACGTGATCTCTTCCAGTGACTTGTTCAACCACTGCATCAAGATATTTAAGCAAAAGATGAAATTGCTCTAAATGAAAACATCAGTTATGAATTAGCAAAGAATAAGTTAGCTGGCACTTACCTGAAATTCCTTGTGCACTTGCTGCATGTGCAAGCATCATTTTACCATTTGCATCACCAATGCAGTATAAGTGAGGAACCTAGTATTCAAACTTAAGATTAATGTTTGTTGAAAGTCATATGGGGAAATTCATAGTCATACAAAGTTTGAAACTAACCAGATTGCCATTTGCATCAATTACTCGCATTCTTTCATCAACGGGAACAAAACCCCTTTGTGTTACTACATTAATCTGAAAAAAAGGAATACACTAGTTTTAATCCATTTCCTTTTAGTGGACAATTCCACAAAATCCTAAAGCATTCATCAAGAAGACATACATTCTCCAAACCGAGACCATTAGTGAATGGAGCCCTTCCAGTTGCAATTAAGGCTGCATCTACCTGGAGCAAAATTAAAAAAAAAAAGTTACTTTAACAGATACCATTGACCAGGATGAAGCATATGGAAGAGAAGAAAGGATCTAGATTTGACATCAGGAAACGAATCATAAACCAGGAATTTTAGTACATGATGACATTGTCTACAAAGGAAATATGCTGCCATAACTATTAAAACAGAACAGGCAGATTCTGAGAATTTCCTTAAAAAAGAACATAAAGCACATACCTCCAAGGTGTCTTTTGGTTCCTTTGTCTTGGCATCAGTAAGTTCAATAATGACTGGTTTCCGATCCCTTGCAGGAGTGATCTGTAAACAACACCAAGGATACTCAATAACCTTATACCGAACAGCCATCCAGAATGCACACAGATCTAAACAATAAATTACCTTGGTTGCAAACACTCCAGTATGATAGTCAATTTTCCTTGGATTGATCAGCACCCTTTGGGCCAACTTACCAATTTCAGGATCAAACCCAGGCATAAGTTGATCTAGAGCTTCAATAAAAGTGACCTGCATAAACCTTGTGTATAAACTTTGTTGCCTTGGGATAAACAATTAAGGACATTTAAATTACACTATAACTTAGGAATTAGAATAAAACATAAAAAAAAGAGGCTAGTATCCAGTGTAATCAACACAAAGAGAATTCAGTGACTGACTTCTATCCTGTCGGTAATTTGTTAATGCATGAATGGATCAAAGAGATTATATCTATATCCATATATGGGCATGCTTTCAATGGTCTAAGTTAGTTTGCAGTTATTTTGCCTACAATAGCAGTCAGACCAAGAGATGAGATCCTTCCAGCAGCTTTGCGGCTTGAATAACAGCATAGGTTAATCCTAGAGTTGACAAGCATAATTTCAATGAAAGCTTGACATAAAGTGCTTATATATTTCAGGTGAAAACAGATAGAGTAAAATTTATAATGTGAAAAAGATTCATTTACAGTCATTTAATCCTTAAAGCGAGATCCCTACATTCATTTCATAAAAGAAACATACAGAGATTAAAAAAGCAATAGAAAAGAAAAGAACAAGGTGTCACCTCACTGCCAAGAGCAGTGTATACATCACTGAATTCAAGACCAATATAACCACTTCCTACAATCGCAATCCAATCAGGAACAAACTCCAATTTCAGGGCATGGTCACTAGTAATAACAGTCTTCCCTGCACGTTATTACTTAATGATTAGAAAAATCCTAGAACAGTAACAACTCTCATGCGTCCTTCTATAAATGCTAAAGTTCAAAGTTATTCTCTTAAAGCAAATTTTCTCGGGTTGTTGGTTGATAAATTCCAGTTATTTGTTTAATAAAATCTAACCATGTGATAAATTCCCATAAAATCTATAGAAGACTTTGAGATTTCTAGTTTTCAAACCACATCATCTATATGTAGCAGACACAAATTTCCTTTGGTTAAACTGCACTTGAAAATTGTTATTCAAACTTTATATCCACATTTCACTTGGTTGAACTGATGCATATGTCCTTACATAACATATGACCATCCATAAGTCTCATGCAAGTTGCCCCAGCCAGGGAGAAAAAGGTAAAAAAAGGACGAAGGCAAACAATGCAAGGAGTACCATCGTGGTAATGCTATCAAATGCATATGTAGTCTTAAACACCCAGATTAGTTTTGATCAATCTTGAATGAAAAAGTTAGACTGCCAATACATATTAAAGAAAACGGAAATGAAAATAATTCATACCATCAACTTCAATGCCCTTGGGAACAAAAGGGACGGAACCAGTAGCAATGATTATATCTTTTGCAGTTACTATGCTGTCAGGAAAACCAACCTTCCCATATTTCACTTTTTGAGGGCCCTGAATACGCATGCAAAAAGTAAGGACACTTGAGAATTTAGAAAACCACAGAATATGCATTTTGTTACAGGACATATATTAGGCTTACCAAAATAGTACCAACACCAGTTAATATGTCTACTCCAAGTGCCTTCATTGAGTTAGTCAAATTGCTTCGAATTTTTGAAGCAAGATTATTTGCATGGTCAGCAACTCCTTGTCGGTCGTATCCAGCAACAGAAACCTAACACATGTAACATGTAGAACAGCACAAAAGGAAATGATTGGGGGTTACAGGCTGTGAAAGGATTCAGTTAACTCATATGATGATACATACAGACCACAGTTCATCACAATGAAATTTAAGAGAATTTATAAACATGGGAGCTTGTTGGTCAGCAGCACAAATACATATTAGTCATTTACTTACGTCAACACAAGATGAACTGCCTCAGCCTAAGTCTCAAACAACCAACCATAACAATTCAATCCTATTACCTGCAAACCCAAAGCCTTCATGTGATGCTCACTCTGAAGTTCACGCATCCTACCACTAACAGCCAAGAGAGCTTTCGAAGGAACACAACCTCTGTTCACACACGTTCCTCCCACCACATCGCCTTCAATAATAGCCGTTTTCAAGCCCTGCAAATACAAAGCAAAACAAGCAAATTGAAAACCCATTTCACACATCGATCACAAGCCTTATATTACTACACAATAATCACACTCAAAACAAATCGAATTATAAATATTAATTGCATGAAAATTCGCGAAAAACAATAAATCCACCATCAATGCTCCATTGGTCTTCACTTAAAGCAGGTAAAACAAAGATTAACTAATAAAAGTTACAGAGGTTTCTTTTGATTAAACAAAGATTAATAACTGAAGGAACTCACAATAAGTTTCAGCTAAAAATAAAGATAAATAGCATCAAATTTAAGTGAAAACATATAAAAAGGATGAAAGTACCTTCTCAACAGCATGCAACGCAGCTCCATGGCCACCGACGCCAGCACCGATGATAATCAAATCATAATTGAACGATTTTAGAGGAGTTCCGTTGTTTCCAGCGGAAGCAACGATTTTCTTGGAATGTCCACGACTGGAGATGCGAACTCGGCTAGAACACGACTGAGTCAAATTGGAGAACCCGAATGCTTCCCTCCTGAGTCCACAGAAGCGAAGATTTATCGGCTTGGAGAGAGCAAAGGAAGGAGAATGAGAATCGAAGGCGTAATTTGATCTAGGAACTGTCGTAGCTTGAGATAAAGATAAAGTAGAATGCATCTTTTTTCTGTTTGGCAAACAAGAAAATGGGAGAGAAAGAGAAAGAGAAGGAGTTTCTATTTTAAGCGATAGAGAGATCTGAGTTATAGAGAGTGAGGGGAAAAGAGCGTGCTTTGCTTTGGTAAGTCCGTTGGAGAGGAGTGAGGGGGTAGCGGAGTTATCAAGGTCAGCGCTGATAAACCACCACTTTTTTTGTTGGCTTTTTTTAACTTTTGTTTTTCTTTCCCATGCTTGGCTTATAAATCATATATTAGTAGTAAGGTATTTTTTTTTTTTTTGAATAAAATTTGAATTTAATTTAATTATTATTAAATTTAAATTTAATTAATTTAATTTATTAAATGAATTAAATTTGAGTAGTTTAATATTTTTTCAAATAATTTATGAATTTAATTAAATTTTTAAATTTTAATACATTTTTATTATTTTAATTAAATTATTATATATATATATCAATCCGAGTTCAAACATATAATTAAAAATAAAATTAAGTATGAGAATCAATCTATTTATTAAATAAGTCTAATTAAGCATGCTTAAATATTTTGATTTTGATTTTTAGTAGAATTTAAACTTAAAAAATTAAAATTTAATTAAGCTTAGTCTAAATTTTGAGTAACAAATTTTGAGTCGAGTTCGAATTTCTCATTATATCGATTTAATTCGACTCAATTATAACCTTATCTTGTTTCATGCTTTGCTTCTTTCTTTTTTTTAGTTAAAGATAATCCTATTAAGTTTACCAAAAGATTTATTTTTTATTTGAAAGACTGAAAAATGTTATTGATAGTAATAATTTTGATTTTGATGATATGATGCCTTAAAAATAAATTGGGATTTGATAATAAAAAAAATATGAAAAGAAAATGTAGGATTATTTACATCAAAATTAATTCTATGATCCTAACTAACATGTAATAGTAATTAGTATTTGATTATAGTTAACAGGTTATAATAATTAACAATAATAACGAGAATAAAATTGTTGATATGACTAATGTCACAAATTATAACAATGATTGTAATTAATAATAAATTAATAATTTATGATGATTTGTGATAATTTTAAAGATCGATTTATAATTTATATTTAAAGATAATTTACAATAATTTTTAATTACAATATTTGAATAATAACATATTTTATAATTATTTATGAATTGACATATTTTTAACATTAATTTATAAATTTATAAAATATTTGACAAAACGATGATTCTTAAAATATTTTGAAGAAAATAAATGAGAGTTGTTATATATATATATATATTTATATTTAGCGTGAATGATAAAAATAAATAAAAAAATTATAGATAAAATTGTGCCTGTGTGTATTTTTTTTAAGTAGATGAAATTGTACTTAAATAAAAAAAGTGTTTTTTATATTTTAAATAATTAGATTTAGAGGGAAAGTAATGTCGTAAATTTATTTATTTTTCTTTTACTCCACTTATCAAACTAGGAAAAATTAAATATATATATATATATATATTTTTTCTTTCACTCAATTCTTTCCTTTCTATCAAACATAATGTTATATTTGAAATTGTAACTACTTTACTGAAAAATAAACGATTGGTAAATTTTAGATTTTTTTTTTTGGCTTGAATTGTGACTAAAAGTTCAATAAATTTAAAATTATTAGTGAAATATAATGCATAATCTAATAGTTTATTGCAATGAGAGGCTTTGTGAAGGAGGTTAATTTGATTGGTTTAATTAATTTCAAATCAAATTATTTTAAAATTAAATTAATCAAATTATATTATATTATTTTTATTAATTGAATTGAATATATTAATTTAAAAAATTAATCGATTGAATTAATTCATTATGTTTGTTTAATTTTTTCAATTAATGAATAATAAATATATTTAGATTAAATTATATTTTAAACTCTTAATTTTTTATATTAAATTAAATAAAAATCATCTAACAAAATATTAAATACCAAATATTAAGTTAAAAACTATAAAAAATTTTAAAATAGAATAATTTATTTTATATATTTGTAGTTTTATGTTTGACTTGTATTATATTTTAGTTGATTTGATTTTCAAATCAAATTAATCAACAATCAAAATTTTTTAAAATTATTTTTAATAATCAATCAAAATTAATTCGATGATTGATTGATTAATTAAATTAAATTAAATTAATCTTAAAGTCGAATTTTGAACCATCCTAAACCTGATGCGCTTATCTTACCCACAAATTCTCAATAAAATGGTAGCTGCTATGCCATTCACAATGTTCCACGAAGCAACAAGAAACCTTTATATTTTTCTATTTTGTATGATATTACTGTTAAGATATGAACAGTTTTTGTTTTATTAGGGGTGAGAACAAATTAAAAAGAAAAATTGTTATGAAATTATAGTATTCAGTTTGACTTGAATTAGTTATTTTCTTATTAAGTTCGGATCAAATTCGAATATTAAATACATATATTAATTTAGATTGAATTTTGGATTATAATGTAAAAAATAAAAAAGACTAAAACTAATCGAATTATATATTTTTATTAGTTTTTATATATTTTTTAAATTTTTATAAAATAAAATAATTACTTTATTTATTTAAATATATTAAAATTTATATTAAAATAATATATAAAAATTTAAATTTTAAAATTAAAAAATAATGAACTGAACTAAATCGAACCTATAAAATTTGATTTGGATTAAATCAATTTTTAAAAAATTTGGTTTGTATTTGAATTGGATTTTATAAATTTATAACATCATGTATTATCTAAAAAATCAAACAAAATCTTATACAATCCAAATTGCTTTCGCTCCTACATTATGTCACTTCCATCATTACATTTTTTTTAATTATTAGTTCATAAGCTCTTATGTAAGTCATATAATCCTTAGCAATCATTTATAGACTTAGTAATTTTATATGTGATATGAAAATGATACGAAAAAAATTATATATATATTTAAAATATATATTTCGTGTTTATTTATGTCGATATAAATTTTAACATAATATAATTCATGTTTTATACGTGTTGATATATCTAAACACGTGAAATGACATGAATTATATGTTTAATTTAATATTTTCATACGAATATACGTTTAACATATTTAACATGTTTAACACATTTTTTATATTTATTTAATTTAATATAAACATTATTTTAATTTTTAATCTTTTAATTATGATATTTAATTATCTATTTAATATCATATAAAATTTATTTTAAACATTTAATTATGATACTTATTTAATAATTATTATAAAATTATTTTTATATTAATAATAAAATACAATATAAATATTAATATTAATCCTATACATTATTATTTTATTCTTTAATTTTGAATAATTTATTATTTTAAATTTGATACTAAAAATTAATATAATTATGTAATATATATTAAATACATATTAAACGGAGTATTAAATTTTTTATTTTTTAATATGTAAGTATTTTTTTATATTATTAATATTTCAAGTTGTTGTAAATGTTGAATAACCTATAATTATATATTATTTTAGTTGTGTTATTGTATATATTTGTATTAATTGTGTCTATTTATATATATCTATATTAGTCATATTTATTCGTATATATTTATATTATTTATATTTATTCATGTTGTATTTAAACAAACTTATTGTATACAGATTAATTATATCAAATCGTATCTAATATTATAATAAATATATTATATTTATATTTAAAATTTAAATACGTTTTATAATTCATGTCATATTTATATTTTAATAATTTGTATTATTACACATGATATTATATGACATAAAAATATGTATTATAAAGTCTAATCATTTATAATCAATTAGGTATATTTTTTCTCTTTCATGCAAAGTTAAAAGGAGGTAGACAATCCTGTTGCAGAAACTAACAAACCGGTTACAAATAAAAACCGCTGAAACAAGTCAATTGAAAATTCAAGGACTATACCCCCAATTAAAAGGTGCGTGGGTCGTCAAATCTGTTAACAAGCAACACGTTGGTGCATCTTGTCGGCCAAATTCCGTCAATGATCAAGAAAAACAAATGTGAATAAGAAAAAGAACTAATGAAAAATAATAATGTTAAAAATCTTTACAAATTAACATTAATTATTATTATATTCCATAAAAATATACGAGTCTTTTATATTTATTCTTATCTTATTTTTTAATTAATGACACATATTAATAATATTTTTAATATATTTCATTTTAGTGAATCAAATTTTATAATGAACATTTCATATATTTTTTATTTCCTTTTTATTTCATTTTGTAAACAAAACGAATAATGAGGATATTATTAATAATTATAAATTTCATCAAAGTAATAATTAGTATCACTTATAAATATAGTATTAATTAAAATGTAATTATTATCTCTCTAACGAGATATGTCTCAATGATAAGAAAAAGACCATTGAATTTTTAAATTTTATATTCATATCTTTTAAATAATTTCTATGAATATATGTAATTTAATTAAAAAATAGAATCTTAAAATAAGAAAATAATGGTAATGTCAAGAAACAATGCACCAATGGCATAATTAAAGCATATGGTCTAATGCTTAATTAGCACTCGATACAAAGATTTTAATTTCGCACGTTATTTGTTTGACCCACCCTAACTTCCTCCTTATTATAGCATTTATCCAATTTTGTTCAATTCACGAGTGATGACTCTAATAAAAGGAGATAAAGCATAAATGTTATTAAAGATGAAAAATAAAAAATTAATTTAAAATCATAATATTTGATTTAAATTAAATTAAATTTTTATTTGATTTAGATATAAATATATATTAAATTTAAATTGAATTTTGATATGAAAAATAAAAAAAAATTAAATTGAATTATATATTTTAAATTTTTATAAAATAAAAAATTATTATATATAAAAATTATATTAAAATTTAAATTCGATTCAAATGTTATCACAGTTCAATGATGTGACTGGTATCCCCTACAACCCGTTTTAAATTCCACAGATACTCCTTTCTCTATCCTTTTACCAGTGTAACTCAATCAAACGCCTCCACCTGGTCAACTGACTTAAGCAGGTGACGTTACTAGAATTGCCGACCAGATATAGTGCATATTTTATGCTGCTGTATCCGTGTCAAATCAAGATTGGGTAGTGAAAAAACACGTGTTAAGCGAATCTCTGGGTATTTTTGATTGGACGGCGGAAAGAAAGCACGTGGATATTAGCACAGACATCAAAGGTTAAATGGCGAAACCGTAATTAAAAAGAAAATCGAGCCCATTACAAATCGCATTTGTTACTTTTTTTTTAATTGTTTTTAATCATTTTTTTTTCTTTCTTTCACTTATCGAAGGTGGGGGAAGGGACAGGCACTTGCGCAGAAAATAGAAAAAATAAAAAGAAAAGAGGGAGAGAATTCAAGGTTTTTTCAGCTTTGTTAATGGCGGTTAGGGTTTTCAATTGATCCCCTCCAAAAGGAACCTTAATCCCTCACGCATAATATTTCAGTTCCCGCGCTTTCTCTTTCTTGTCGTTTCCGAAAATCCCTAATTCTAGGTTCCCCGAGCCTCTCAATTTAACTTCGATTTTTCAGTCTCTACGATTCCTAGTGGTTATTTGGGATTCGAAAATTTTGAAACCGGAGGGCGAGAAGCTGCGATGGGCACTCAAGAGAAATCTCAAGGCAACGCCAATTCGATGCAGGTCAGTTCATCTCTCGCTGTTTTATAGAAGTTGGGCCTTAGAATCGGTCATGTTTGTGTTAGTTCACTTCTAGGTTGAGTTTAGATATTAATTTTGATTTTATCTATTTTATTATTGAGGAGTGATGGGAATTTGCAGTGTAAGTGAAGTTTTTTAGTCTTTCAATTAAGTTAAATTTATTTTTGGTTTTGTAGTAAAGGTGCGATCTATTTTTTCCCTGTTCCATAGTGTTTTTAGTTATTGGCTTTTGGCTTGAAGTGTGCGGTGAAGTGAAATTAGCATTAGGTGGGATTTCAGACAATTCTCTTCTTGGGCTGTTAGCGAAATTGGTTTGAAGTTAGCATTTTTGTGCTTTTGCATGTGTGTTTTTGTTATTAGGGTGTTTAAATATAGGTATGGAATGTGGTCAAGGGTGTGTTTTAGTCTTCAATCAATTTTACGCATAAGATAAAGGGAAGAAAGAGGTTTTAGTATCAGTTTATGATACGTTATGATTTATTCTGAGTATGGGTCTAGTTCAGTTGATGTCAAAGGAAACATACTACTGTACTGTATGAACTGTTAAGTTCGAAATGAGTAGTTAGTCATTACACCTGATAACATGCTTATTTTGGTTAGGGTACTAGTTAACTGGGATTCTAGCCTGTTTTTCGATATTACTACATTGCAGATTAGGTGGTTCCTTTTCTTTGTCGGGAAAAAATTTTCCTGTGTTGATAGACTAATTTTAGTGTCAGATTTGAATATTCTGTTATTTTGGAGTGTTGTGGTTTGTAAATTTAGAAAGTCCACATTGATTTACTGGCATGCGGCGCTCAAATGACTAAAATGCATGTTCATGAACCCTACTCAAGTAATTATTTCGTAATTATTTCCAAGCAGTCATTATTGGTAACATGTGATTTATATTCTTAATTTAATCTTTTCATTGTTCTTCAAATAGTTTTTGTTTATATGCCATGTACAAATTTTCCCAAAGGGGCCTTGGAAGTATGATCTTGGTAGAAATTTCTGAATTATGGTAAGGGTGTTGTTCTACAGGTGATGGGTGACTTTTCAAATCTAGGATGCAAAAAACAGTGGCATCATTGGTAGAAACATCTTGTGTTTGGAATAGGAAGCATATAGATAGTTAAATGTGATGATAAGATGTTAGCAGTTTATGGATCTATGTTGAAATCTTTAATTAGCTGGGAAATTTGAGTAAGCTTGTGCTTACTTGTTTATCTTGCCTGTACATTATTCAATTATCATGAGGGTGGGGGGCGGGGGAGATCATAAAAGTTATTTTTTGTTGTCAGTAGGATCGTCGTTTAGTGCACCAGGCTAACACCATTTTCAGTTTATGTTGTTTATTTCTGTGAATTCTGGATGAGTTTTGGGAATGATATTGAACTGTTCTCTCTCTTTTTTTGGTCTAGTTATTTCTTGTTGTCAGTAGGATGGCCAAATAGCTGCTTGATGTCTAATTTCATTTTAATGGGACTATGCATTATTTTGATGTATCGTCGTTTAGTGCACCCGACTAACACCATTTTCAGTCTGTGTTGTTTATTTTTGCGAATTTTGCATGAGTTTTGAGAATGCTAGTTAACTCTTTGCTCCTTTTTTTTTTTTTGGTAAAATTATTTATATATAAATTCAGCGAGTAAAGGTCTATCGTTTGAATGAGGATGGTAAATGGGATGATCAAGGAACCGGGCATGTCACTGTTGATTATTTGGAGGTCTGTTCAAATCTTTAAGCTGATTCTATATTTGTCTGTTTTTGGACTGGATATACTGGATTTTGTTTTTGATTATGTAGATGAAAATGTGTTCTTCCTTTTACATGAATGCATATGTTATAATTCAGAGATCGGAAGAGCTGGCTTTGTTTGTTTTTGATGAAGAAGACAATGAGACATTGCTTTTGCACCGCATCAGCCCTGATGACATTTATAGAAAGCAAGAAGGTATTCTTCTTTTCTTTCTTTGCTAAATGCTAGTAGCCAAAATGATGTTTTCAACTGAATGTTTGTTGTTTGTGAAAATATCAGTTTGATTAAATGATATTTGCATTTATCTTCAGACACAATCATATCATGGAGAGATTCGGAATATTCTACAGAATTAGCACTTAGTTTTCAGGAGAACACAGGATGCTCTTACATATGGTAGGTAATGTTATAAATTGTTTCGTGTTTTTTGGTTATTCCTCCTTGAATGTTTTCGATCTCTATTTTTATATCCCCTTTTCTAGCTGTTCTCTCTGTTGGAAGTTTATGACATCAACCTTTCTATCTCCCTTCTATCCTCCTCTATTTATCCTTTTTCTCTATTGCAGGGACCACATCTGTAATGTGCAAAGAAATATGCATTTCAGTTCTCTTAACAGTAAGTATCTTTTATATCCTTTTGAAGTTATTAATTCTTACCCCTCAAGTTAATAAAATGTTGGATCCTTGTAAATGGTTTAACTCTCTTAGTGACTCTTGTCCAAACAAAGACTAAACTTTATGAAAACTTGAAATTTGTAAAGAAATTCTTTTGGTCAATCAAATAATGTATTTATCTTCTGCCTTAGAGGTAGGAAAATTTAATTAAATGGGCTTCTTTTGTTGAGCGGCCATCATCTTCCACTTTTGATGCACAGAAGATTATTTTCTTCAAACATGTGTGCAATGTATTTATATTAGACCTTGTATCAAATTTATCATTGTGCAATTTTGAAATACCATCATGAATAATGACTGTCTTATATATGATTACTGCAGATGAGACATTTCATACAATGCATAGTGAGTTGAGGGAGTTGCCAGCTGTGGAGCTATCCACCCTCCCCATAATCCTCAAGGTTCTAAATGAATGATTCCGTCCTCTTGATTGCATTCTATTTGGGTTTATTTTTGTTGCTTGCTGTAATTTCTTTGCTTTCTTCCTTTTCAAAAACGTTGGATATGTTTACTCATAATGCTTTCTTCCTCATTTATTCCTTTTTCATGTTATGAAGTTAATGGTTTTTTTATGCCTCTCATGTGTCTTGATTATCTGTATTTGAGCTTATCTTATAATTATTTGTAATATAGAGTAAGTAGACTATTTTCATTTCTTTTTGGATAATGTCTTTTGGAGTCCCTATATTTTCTGCATGCCCTGCATATTTCGCTTGGAAAGCTTCTTCAAATATAGTCTGCTCAAGCATGCCTGTTTATAAGATTGTTTATTAAGCTGATCAATTTTGTCCTGCAGACTGTGACTGAGAGTGGCCTTGCTGATCAGATGCGGCTGACAGAACTTATATTAAATGATGTATGCTTCTTCTAAACTTTGCACAATCTTACAAATTTTTTTGTTAATTTCTTCTATATGTAGATCTTGTGTATTGTAGTATTCTGTAAACAGCCACCGCTCATTTATCTATTGTGAAGGTTGGTATTTCTGTCATATTAAGTTACCAATTGTGGCTGCATTGTGAACTGAGTAATTTGGTTTTCCTCTAGTTTCTCGACTTTTTGAGATTGTGTAATCTCATTGATCTTCTATGCAATATGGAGAGATTAAACAACTTTCTCCACGTAACTATGAGCCTGTTTTCTTGGTCTTCTAAATATTTTCCATACTGATGTCATGTCTTTATCGTTTGCTTTCCTGGTTTTTTTTTTTTTTTTTTTTCTGCTTCAACTTTATAATTTAATTTCTTTGTCTTGATTTTCCATCCATGTTAGTTTCTAAATATTCTAGACCTGCTGAATTGAGTTTTGATCTTAATGTAGCTAGATTTCTTCCAGAAGCTGATGGAGCTATTTAGAATCTGTGAAGACTTGGAAAATATAGATGGTCTTCACGTGATATTTAAAATAGTCAAGGGGATAAGTTAGTACTCCTTACTTGAATGCTCTTATTTGTTAGTTAAGACATGCTTGTATTTTACTGGTGATTCATGTATCTGTAATTTATGTTATTGGTTGTTTTACAGTTTTGCTCAATAGTCCTCAAGTTTTGGAGAAAATATTTGGGGATGAATTAATCATGGATATTATTGGTTCCCTTGAATGTAAGTTCTATCACTGTTTGCTCAGAGATTTATTATTAGTGATTATTGCTGGATTGAATTGAATGTTTAATTTGCAAATTTACTTATGTAACTGTTTGGATGTGGGATTCTAGTCATAGAATCTTGCACATTCCTTTTTTTTTTTTTAATGCTAATAACCATGTTATATGTTGAGACTTTATGAAAGTTCCTATGTTTCATGTTTCCTTTCTAGTGCTTAATGATATCTGTGATTGTTTGTGTTACTATTCTCGTAGTTCAACTTCTAAACTGTGAGCTAATAATCCAAGACTAGATTCTTAGCTTCTGCATAATAACTTCATATTTTAGAAGTTGCACAGAATTGCCAAGATACTCGTAACTTTTACTTATGACATGTAATTTTATGTCATTATTGAAGAAATCATGTCAGTTTTCGCAATTGATTGATTGTATGAGAAGCAATTTGTTAAATGAAATCTTTAGGTGGAACAATTATCTCTCATTGTTCATCAGGTTGCAGTTTGTTTGTTGCTTGTTTTATAGTCATGTTTATTGCTATAAAGTTATTTTTCTGAGCTGCATGTTGGGTTGCCATTTAGTATCTGATGCACTTTATTTTGTTAAATTCTGGATTTCTACTTATTTCTCATATGATATTCCTGTCGACATGCCCCGGAATTGACTATTTGCTTTGATAGTTTCTATCATGTTTTGGTAAGTCTGTTTCTTCTTTTGTTTGCAGATGATCCTGATTTTCCTCAGGCGCAACACTATAGGAATTTTCTAAAAGAACATGTTATTTTTAAGGAGGTAATGTATTCTTAAATGGGTCCTACTGCTTACATTGGAGTTGTAGACTAGGGACTAGAGGGAGTTTAGACCAGAAGAAAGAAAATCAAGGAGCTTTAGCTGTAAAAAAGAGTTCATATCATAGTATTTGTTTTTTACAGGTCATTCCAATTAAAAATCTGATGGTCCTGTCAAAGATACACCAGACATACCGAGTTGGTTATCTGAAGGTATGCAACTTAAGTGCTAGACTTATGAGTCCTACTCATGTCTTTTGTTGTGTAATTCTTGCTTTTGATTGCTTCTTTCAGGATGTTGTTTTGGCAAGGGTATTGGATGAGGCCACGGTTGCCAGTCTCAATTCTATAATTCATTCAAATAATGCTTTTGTAAGATTTTGTGTTTGTTGTTAAATATATTAGGCTTTTAGTTTCTTTTGCACTAACTACGGCATTGTGTTGTAGGTTATTTCTTTATTGAAGGATGACAGCACCTTTATTCAGGAATTGTTTGCAAGGTTGAGATCACCTACCACATCTGCTGAATCAAAGAAAAATTTGGTAATTATTGACATCAAATGAATTTTATTGTATTATTTTTCATTTGGTTATGAATGCTGCTTCCTTTACCACGAAGCTAAATGTGATGAGCAGCAGATTTTTGGAGATAGATCAAACTTTGTTAACTTTCAGTTTGCTTGGCCCTCCTTTGCTTGTAACTTGTCTAACATGATTGATTTTTTATTTTCTTCTATCTATTTAGATGTTAGATTTTCATTAGGTCGAGAGTCTTGATTTAGGGGAGGTCAAATATATGAATGTTTAGGACCAGACTTTCAGTTCGCTTAACCCTCTGCTTGTGATTGTCTATGATGATTGATTTTTGTATTTTCTTCTATCTGTTTTAGATGTTAGGTAACTTAGATTTTTATTTGGCCATGAAAGGTCTTGATTGAGCTGAGGTCATATATATGAATGCTTTGGTGCCAAGGCAATATATTTATTCCTTTCCTGGGTTCATGTTCATTTTTAATACCAGAGTCATGTCCAATGTCATTCTGGAATATTTGTTATCTGTGGCTCTTTTCATGGGCTTAAGCTCTATTGTTTTGTTCCATTTTATTTGTGTCTACATTAATCCTGTTGGCTTATTTATTTTTTTTTCAATAGGTATATTTCTTGCTTGAATTTTGTAGTTTAAGCAAGAGCCTGCAGATGGTGCAGCAGCTTCGACTATTTAGGTATGCTTTTCTGCAAGTCAGACATCTGGTATTTACGTGGTTTTCATTTTGCTATCTTGGTTCCGAAAGCTACCACTTCTCCTTAATTGTCTTTTAAACAATTAAATTTTTATATCTTATGGCTGAAGGGTCCATTTTTTTTCAATCATTTTAGGGATCTTGCGAATGAAGGTATCTTTGATATTATCACTGATGCTCTGCAGAGTCAAGATAAAAAGCTTGTACTAACTGGGTAATGGTGGCATTTTTAGTGTCTCTCTTTAATATATTTCCTTCCATCTGCTTTCCACTGAAATGTTTCATTTCCAAATTATCTAGTCCTAACGATAGGTCTCTATAATGGATGCAGGACAGACATCCTCATTCTGTTCTTGAATCAGGATCCAAACCTTCTGCGCTCTTATGTTGTTCACCAGGAAGGAGTTCCACTTTTAGGGCTTCTGGTAAATGGTTTATTTGAGTTCGTTGGTAGTATGTAGGATCATTGTGAGGAAACACGAATTAGATGAACTTAACAGATCTCCTTCACTGTGGTACATACGCGTCTGTATATATGGAGAGAGAATTAAAGGAACTAATATAGTTGTTTACTTACAGGTTAAAGGGATGATAACAGATTTTGGAGAAGATATGCACTGCCAGTTTCTTGAAATTATTCGTAGTTTACTGGATTCATTCACATTGTCAGGAGCTCAGGTGCCTACCTTGATACTTTATTTCTGTGTGCAAGTGTTATATTTTGGTAGATGGGAAATTGAATTCTCATGCTACCTAAATTCCGAAAGAATTGGGGCAGGTTACTTGAATCTTTTTCTTCTATTATTCATAGTTTTAAGGTTACATGATTTTTGAGTCTAGCTTGACCTTTTTTCCAACCTTTACTTGTCTTGAGTTGCTTTACTGCATGAGAATGTGGTGCTGTTCTTTGAGAAGCACATACTTCTATCAAATTAGATTCCAGGCATGGTTGCAAGATGATAATCTCGCAAACAAGCTAAATTTGACTCCTCATGGAGAGTTATAGTCATTAAATAAGCTGAATATTGATAAAAATTGGTTTGTCTTTTCCAACCTTTTATTTTATGTCTAACTAGCAAACTTCGGCAGGCATATGTTTGATCCTCTGTGTGCTGTACATCACTGAGAGGTTGTTACCATATAACTTACTGAGAGATCATGGCAGAAGAATGATTATCATGTGATTTTCATGCCTCATTTTTGTGTTATCTCTACATTTGGAGTCCACAACATTTTTGAGTTTATTTATGCAGGTGTAAAAGTTTTGGATGTTGATTTGTGTTTTATTATATGTATCTGCTGATTGTTGGAAAATTTTGTCACTTAAACTTTCATGTAAGATTTAATTTCTTTTCTTCTTGCTGGTTTGGTTACTAGTTCTTATTTTTTATTTATTTGTTCCAAGTCTTTCATGCCAGTGCTTGACCTTATATTGTTTTTGCTGCAGAAAGATACAATTATTGATATTTTTTATGAGAAGCATTTGGGCCAGCTAATTGATGTCATAATATTATCATGTCCTTCTGATGGGGCTGGCCAGTCAACCAGTAAATTGGCAGGCATTGCGGGAAGAGTTGAAAGTGAAAATAGGACAAAGCCTGAAATTCTGTCAAACATATGTGAATTGCTGTGCTTTTGTGTTGTGAATCATCCTTATAGAATAAAGTAATCTCTCAGATTCTTGTTGTGTATTCATCTAGAAAATTTTGCTTATTAATCTAAGATGTTAATTAGCTTTTCTTAATTGTTTGCAGGTGTAATTTTCTTCTTAACAACGTTATAGACAAAGTTTTGTTACTTACACAGAGAAGGGAAAAATACCTAGTAGTTGCTGCAGTTCGCTTTGTTCGCACTATTCTCTCTCGTCATGTAAGTGAATTCAGTTTAAGCTTTAGAATAAATTCGTATGTGGTCAGAGTTGAGTAGCTCGCACTCACCCCTGATGAAATCTTTGGAATCAGAAATGGCATTGAAGATTTAAATGAAATTGGAGCTGAAGCTGTTTTCTATGTGAATGATATCTGACTTTGCTTTTGACTGTTGTTAGTTGCATATTGAGACATGGGAAATTACCAAATTAGTTTATCAGTTTAAAGATCCAGATATGTATATGTTTGTCTTTTGAGATATGGAGTGTACATATATGTTGCTCTGACTCTTCATTTATCCTCAAGAATCCATTTTGGACACTTATTTGACACCTCAAAGTGGACATAGGCTTGGGGCGTAGACACTCCGAATATAATGAATGCATATTATGTCCCAAATTCACTCTTGAAGCCTGAGCAACAATGGGTACCAGGAATAACACATAATATGGTTGGCTGATTATTGGCGGACCTCCTGCCACTGGTGTTTCTACTGTCGTCATTTCAGATGGCTCGGTTGTTAGGCATTGGGCTATTATATTTGTTTGCACCAAACTAGGAAGGGTATGAAAGTACACTGTGACAGGATTGATATATTTTCTCTCTCCTTTTTGAACTTTCTTTTCCTCTCACTGGGCCTGCTATACCTGTGATTTTCTGTTTTTTTTTTTTTTCATTTTCGTGCACTTGCAAGTTGCAATTTCTAGGAGTTTGGTTATCCCATATTTATAAAGTTATGCTTCTTTTTGTTCACTCAACTTCTTACAAATTAGCAATTTTCAGGCTGGTAAATATATTTGACAAGTTTAAAGACTGTTACATGTTTTAAGTGGTTAAATTAAGCTGTCATCTTGCAGGATGAACATCTGATAAGTCATTTTGTCAAGAACAATCTTCTCAAACCAGTTGCAGATGCTTTTGTTGCTAATGGAAATCGTTACAATTTGCTGAACTCTGCGGTCTTAGAACTTTTTGAATATATCCGCAAGGTGAATATTATTTTGTATTGGAATGTTAGACATATCTGGAAGATTCTGTCTGCTAATAACTTTGTTTCATGCAGGAAAACCTGAAATTATTGGTTAAATATATAGTTGATTCATTTTGGAATCAGTTGGTTAAGTTTGAGTATTTGGCTTCTGTTCACTCTTTGAAAGTTAAATACGAGCAGGTATTCCAGTTGCTGACCAATTTTTCATGTGACTTTTAGATCTAGAACTTCTTTGATGTGACTTGTCTGTTTGCAGTGCCTGGAAAATTGTGGAACTAAAATGAATGTTAATGCACTGGACCCCAGAAAACGAATTGATGAGCGTGCTCTGGAGAAAGAGGAGGAAGACTATTTTAACGAGGACAGGTATGCATTTGTTAACAGATGAGTTGACGCTTTTCCTCAGAGCCATTTCCTTTATATTAATTGAATCTGGATTCATAAGCAGTGATGAAGACGATACAACATCTGCATCCCATACTCAGAAAGTGCAATCTCAGCCTGTTTTTTCCAATGGAGTTGCTGTGAGCCACCCGTCATTAAGGTATTTTAGTGACCTCATCCTAGTTGATTGACTACTGACAATGTTCTAGTGTGTTTGAGGATAATAATTTATATATTCATTTTAATTTTGTAGCCCAAGATCTGGCGGACTTGTTGACTATGATGATGATGAGGATGATGAAGACTACAGACCACCTCCCAGGAAGCAGACTGAAACCTCGGAGGAGGATGAAGGAACCATGGAGTCCCTTAGGTTGAAGCGTAAGTTGACTAAGGAAAGGGAACCTGAGCTAGCTAAGAAGCAGCGTTTGTGTAAAAGCTCTAAATCAAGAGATAGTGTATTTGCGGTTTTGTGTTCAACCCTAAGCCAAGCAGTGCTTCCTAGTAAGAAAACTGCAAATGCCATTCATTTATCTACTCGGTCAGCTGAGGTGAACTTAGGTGAGGCAAATCATCTGGAGAAGGAATCTGGCAGTCCCAGAAGTTCTGATAACAATAGTACAGAAGGGGACAACCTTAGAGAGAAGGAATCTCCTAGACACTGTTCAGAGTGCTTGCATAGCCCCTCAGACAATAGACAATTAAGTGGAGACGACTGTCCGTTGATACCGCCAACATCCTCAGCTGAAATGGCTGTAAATGGATCGTAAGTTATTACGCAGACTCAATGTGCGCAGGGTAACTTGTTTTCTTGTTTGTGAATGTGCTTGGTGACTAAACAGTCTTGGGCAACCAAAGACAAAGTGGACTACAAAAAAGAATTGGATGCGGAGAAAGTCAGAAAGTGGATGAATGGTTTGTCGGAGGGGATGATCATGTATATTGCGCCTGTGGGCATGAAGAAATTGTACTCAATTATGCGGCCCAGTCAGTCTACCAGGCCTTTCTGATGCTTTGAGCTGAGCTAGGAATTTCTTCTTTGAGCCGCTCCGACTGTTGCATCTGTAAAAACATTACCTTTTTGTCTAATTTTTCCCTTTAAAAAAAAATGTGTTCTTGTCCTGTTTAGCTTTGTGAACCAACTGATAGATTTTGGGCATTAATATTTGCCCTGAATAGTATCAGGGTCCCTTTGTTGTTCAGTTTTGTGGTGGGAGAGAGAGAGAGAGAGGGTTTAGGATGATGGTTATAAGGCCAAATTTTCTTAATTGTAACTGAAACCACCTGTAAATTAGAACTTGGTGTTACGCAACTTCAATTAAATCAGCAAAACTCAAAATTTATTCCAAATTTATGCCTAACTTTGGCAAGTTATTACTTCATTCTCTCTTCGTTGTCTGGTTTAGCTTGTTCTTGCTGTTATTCCTCCTTTTATCATCTTCATGTTTTTAGTCCGATCGTAAATCAAAGAACAAAGAACATCGAGCTTGGCCAGGGGTACCCACTGAAAGAGACTGGCGAAAAAATGGCGAAAAATGGATCAAGAGAATCGCCACCAGGTCCGCAAATCTGGTTCCATGCAAGAGACATGTAAGGTTTCAGAAAAACGTCTCCATGCTCTTGACTTCCTCTTCTTCTCAACTCCTCTCCTACAGTCTCTACTTGTCTAGTTAATCACAATAATCCACTTTTTTTTTTTTTTCTTTCAATCTTCTGATTGATCTGCCATAACAACTTGCATTCCAAACAAAAACGAGCAGAATAGCATCAGAAACCAAAAAGGAAACATGACCAGTAACTTGGAGACCAGGTCTTTGCTGGATGAATGGCGTAACTTCGACAAGGGAGGCTTCTTCGACCTTCGACACCCTCTCCTCAACTGCATTGCGCAGATATTTGTCAAAGCTGCTGGTGTACTTAATCTTCTCAACCTCAATATTCTCTGTCTATTATTCATTTATGTTTTAAACGAACGCAATATAAAATTACGATGTTTGCTGTTGGTGTGTGCAGATTGGAGCAATTCAGGCTGTCGCGAGGGGGCTTGTTTGATAGCTGTTAGAGACATGCACTTTTGCATTTTCTTTCCAAGTTCATCTATCATTATTTTTTTATTGCTGTCTAGTTTCATTTTTTAGTGGGATTTGTTGGGTGATCGTTATTGGCATGTGGATTTGTTGTTTTGGTGCAGGAATTGAATCAAGTAATTGGCCTGATATCTCTGGTGTCTAGAACAGGAAGCATGGCTTCCTTGACCTCAAAGGTGTGTATCAGTGCCTAGTGATCCTTATAATCCTTTTCTTTCATGGTGACATGTGTTTCTAGTTTGACACAAACTTAGCATCAGAAAGAGGAAAACATGAACAGTCTTTGGTGTCTTATGCAATACTACTATACATACTAGTGGCTGATGCTTGGAATATCGATCGCAGGGATCAGGATCACCTCTTAGGCTAAAAGTTTTCGACCGTTAAATTGAATTTTCTTTTTGGTTTTCTGGATCATAAATTTTGAGATGATTGAACCTTAAAATACTAAAATTTTTAGGCTTATTAACCACCAAAAGTTTGTCTTACTTGTTGGATGATTGGGAGTTTCATATATTATATATTCATCTATTAACTTTGGCCATTACTTGGGAAAGTTGAAATTGCTTTTATGTGGAATGCGGCAGAAACCAATCGAAAATCTCTTGAAGCAATGGTGAGTCCTTTCCCAAGATATATGAATTTTCAAACTGGACTTAAAGGTTATGGCATTGTATGATGTACACTGACTAAAAAGGCTATATCTCAGTCACAGGCTTTCCAACTTACTTTTTACATGTTCTACAGGTGAAGGGCACTGGAAAAGAATCTCGACAGTGGGGAAAATTTAGTGCTTAGACCTGATAGTTTATTAGTTTGGCTTGGATGAGTTTATTAGTTTGGCTTGGATGAATAGTCATAACTGAAATGCTCATATTCAGAAATCACAAACATATGGCTGTGAAGTACATACAAATGGTTGATTTACACTCGTTTTTTTTTTCTCACAAAAAATTCAAGATAGATAAATTGTTCAATTTCCAAGTCAAAGTAAAATGTATGATAGTTTAAGAATAATAATTGCAAATTATGTATTTGAAATAATCGATCATGAATAGACTCAAAGACCTTTAGAGAAGAAGAATGAACTCGCAAGAGCTAACCTCTTGTTGGTGATTTGCACTGGTTCATTGACTTTTCATAGAGTATGTATTAATCATGGTCCATGAATTGAACTGTTCACTGCAGGGCTGGCCGCAGGATTATATTCAGGTCTCCCATGTGGGCTGAAAAGGCTCGCGGACCTCATGATTGGGTAAGATCAGCATCTTTCCTCTTTTTGTTTCACAGGGGATTATAGTATAATTGTAGCTCAAATGTTTTTTTTTTTTTTAACTAAAGTTTTGTTTTTTAACATATTGTAGATAGAGGTGTAACTGAGTCAAGAAATTTGAGTTTAAGTTTAACTTGTAATTTGTGATTCAATTTGAATTAAATTTTAATTTTTAAATTTAAATTTAATTTAAAATAAAAATTTACACTATTTAAATATATTCGATTAAATTCATTTAATAAAAATAAACTTAAATTTTAAATTAATTATATGTTTGAGTTGAAATTAAATTTTAATATATAAAAATAAATTAATATTTTTTAATTAAAATAATAAAAAAATATATTTAAATTTAAAGTTTTAATTAATTTCATAATTTATTTGAATTAAATATTATAATATTCAAACTTAAATCGATATATCATTTGATAATAATTGAATCAAATTTAATTTTTATCTTAATCGTACTCTAATTAACAGTGATGTATCATTTACACACTCCTATTGTGGGGCCAATATTGTGCACGAAAATAGTGCAGTAGCTGGGGCAATTACAGGAACGGCGGTAGCACTCGCATGTGAGGAAACTTCCCACGAGCAAGTTGTCAAGTGTGCCATTACAGGGCTACTCTTTCGACTGCTGCAAATCTTCTGACGGAAATATTCTAAACTGGAGTTATGTTCTGCTTCAGAGTATCTAAGTTGCCTTTCTGCCTGAACCATTTTGCAGCATGTTGATGCTTTCAATTATAAGAATGTTCTTTCTAAATGGTACTTTCAGTTTTTTATAGAAATTTGAAATTTTGATTCAAACTACATAAATATATTATTATTTATATCCATCCGTCTATTTTGAAGTATTTAATTTTTATTTTTTTACTTAAATGAATTGTTTTTTATTATTTGTCAAAATCAAAATACATTGCCAAAAAAAAATCCACCACCTTAATTACCTCGAACATGTCAATTTGGTAAAGTGGAAAAGACGAAAACCCATCTCTGACATAAATAAAAATTATGAAATTTCCTATTTAGTCTTTTCCTTCGTTTTGGGTCTTTCCCGACTCGAAGAAGCTCTGGTACACTTTAATTTGCTTCTACTTTTAGTTCTTAATCCCTCAGTGGTTAGGTTCTTTAATTTGCTGCTGCCGTCCGAAATGTTAATGCTTATGGGCAAAAGGAAGAGGGGCCTAGCAGATGGCAGAGAAAAGGGAAGCAAAGAGGCAGATGTATTTGATGAGTACTGAAAAGGCAGTGAGATTAGGGGAAAGAGAAGACAAGATGTCAATGTCTACAATGGGTGCTTCACAGTGCCAAAGGTGTTTTCAAGCAGGGCATTGGACATATGAATGCAAGAATGAACGGGTTTGTATGTCACGTACTCAGCAGCTCAAGAACCCTAAACTGAGGATGAAGCTTTCAATCTCTTATGATTTGGACATCCCAGATGTTGAAACTGACAGTGGTGCCTCATCTGTTACAGGATCAGATTAATCTTCAGCAGGGAGTAGTACAGCTTACAGTTCATCATCTGAGTCAGAGGAAGAGAGGAGGAGTCAGAGGAGGAAGAAGAAGCAGAAGAAAGGGAGACGTAGAAGGAACAGCTAATCTTCCGAGTCTTCCGATTCAGACTCAGCTTCAGATTCTGATTCTGATGATAGGAGCAGCCGAAGGAAGAGCTGGAGGAATAGCAGAAGGCAGTGAAGGAGAAAGGGTAATGCACATATTGCCTCTTTGATGTTGGACTTGCCTGTTTACATTCTTTTACAATGTTTTGTTAAATTGACAATAGTTGCCAGTAGTTGTGCATTACCAGACATGTTTTGGATTCCTTATATGAAATTATTGTAGCTTGAAAAACCCTCTTGTAAGTTTTTGACTTTTATGTGCCATTGTCACCACATTTGTTGTTTTCCTATATCTATCAAAATTTTGCATCCCTGATTTCGGTTTTGCTCTCTAGGTATCTATCTTGATGTATTAATGGAGGCACGGTTAAATGGGTTGCCACTAGCAGGTTCGTAGACATGTTCTGGATGCTGAAAAGTGTGCCACTAATTCTTCCAAAGGAATGATGTAGAAGCAGCTCCAACCTGGAACCTTCTGTCTTTCAACCCTCGACGTCATCAAACCATCAACTCTAGTTTATTTGAGAATTATCCATATTCCATGGGAGAAAACACCTTTCACCAAGCATCTAGCTCTTTCCAATCAATTTTTTCTGTCGATCTCATCAAAGTGACAAAATAAAGTATTGACACAGTGGGAAAAACTGGGTCATTAAAGACTGGAACTTTTCTCTCAAACTAACACCTGTGGCTTTGGCTTGATTACTGGCTTCATTCATTGTCTCAAGCAAGGGTATTGAGAAACAGACAAAGCTGAGAGAATGCGAAACAACTCTCAAACTTCAGAGAAAAGACTATAGCCAACTGAAGCAGCTTGTCAACATGAGCGTGTTTAAATTTTGCCCCGAATGGTTAGTCTTCCTTTTCCTTCACATATTTTTAAGTCATGCATGGTTCGTCGTGTTAAACATATACTGTTCTTTCTTCATGACTGTTGCGGTTTGCCAAAACGACAGCATTTTAGATACTACGAACTACTAAGTTAATCATTGGCAGATCCATTAACTGATTTATGTATAATATGGATAGCCAATGCTGGATTCAAGTTGACAAAGATGAATTTTTAAGCTAAAATGACATTAGAAGATATCCCTACATGTTTCAAATACTATTAATAATTATTAATTAACTTTTTTAAAAATGGTTAAGTATAATGCAATACTAACATGCATGTTCTCCTCTATTTTTTTTTTCTTATGGAAAGCAAGCCTTTTCTTACGCAGAAACAGATAAAATATCTTAGGAGAAGTAAATATCTAATGAACATTTAGATAAATTTTAAAAAAATAAAAATTAAATAAATAATTTAAATTGATATATTGAAAAATTTTGTTATATAAATTAAATGTATAAATTTTAAAAATAAATTTTAATATAATTTTTAGATAAATATTTTTATTACTAATTTTAATAAAATTTTTAATGTTAAATAGATACGGATCAAATTTTGATTATAAATTATATTTTAATAATTGTTTTTACATGTTATTGATTTTTGCATTAATTTTATTATTTTATAAATTTTAATTTTCAAAATAAAATTTTATGTAATCATTTTTAATAACCAAGTTTACCAATTTTACTTAAAAATATCATTCATGCCTCCAAATATCCTAGTGTATAATATTATCATGTATATAAATAACCCTTAAAGATGATTAATTACAAATAAAGCCATTGAACCCACCACTAGAAAGATCCCGTTCCGTTCCCTCATTTTCTCACCGCAGAAACTCAAGAAAGCAAAAAGGCAGACCCAAGAGTTAAGAACCCAAAGTCTATGCTTTTCTTCATTTTTCTGTTAAAAAAAAAAAAAAAAACCCCAAAAAACCCAAAACCTAATTGAACAAGATGAGTACCATGAAATTTTGCCGTGAATGGTCAGTTCTCTGCTTTGCATTTACATTCTTTGCCTTTTAGGGTTTAGGGTTTTAGGGTTTAAGGTTTATTTTTCATAATCCCATTCAGTTTTTCGTTTTCTTTGCTTTCCATGCTTCACCTTTTTTTTCGTCGATTCTTTTCTTGTTTTATTTTTATGCAGTTAAATTTTGACTCTGTTTTTGCTGATTGATGAAGCAACAATATTCTCTACCCCAAAGAAGACAGGGAACAGAAGATTCTCCTCTACGCCTGCCGCAACTGCGATCACCAGGTTCCTTTTTTTTTTAATGATTTCTTTTTTTATTTTTTTTGAGCTGAAGAATTAAAACTAAGATTTGGGTGTCTTTTCTTTCTTTCTTTTGGCCCTTTTTCTTTTATGGGATTGATTTAGTTTTTAGGTTATTTGTTGATTCGGTTTCAATAAACCCACAAAAGACCCTAATTTAGAAAATGGGTCTTTTTTTGTATTATAGAGTCAATAGCAAAAGTTAAAGTTTAAGGGCATGTATGGGTTGGATTTACACTTAAAAAAAATTCTGGGCATTTGAGGAGGTTCTCAATTTAGGCTTTTGAATACTAACTTCTTGTTTGCATCTATTGATATTATCTAAGTCTTCAGAATAGAAGATTTCCCTTGTTCTCATCTATTAATATTTTTATTCTTGTGACATTAGTATAATTGTTTATGCAGGAGGCCGCTGAGGACAACTGTGTATACAGAAATGAAGTGCATCACTCTGCTGGGGAGCGCACTCAAATATTGCAGGATGTGGCTGCTGATCCGACTCTTCCTCGGACTAAATCTGTTATTTGCGCAAATTGTAAACATGGGGAAGCTGTGTTCTTCCAGGTCAATTTCCTACATGCTTAAGATTATTATTTATGCACACAATGGTTATTGGATAAATCCTTATTATGTGGATGAAATGTAATTCATTAATTGAGCATCTGTGTGCTTTAGAAGTTTGCAGAAAATATTTTGACAGAAAAGATGAGAAATATATTCTTATGGGAGAGAAGTCTGGTATGGTATTAAGTGGAAATGAGCATTTAACTCAAGAAAGTGTGTGTTTGCATCATATCTGACATCAAAATACTGCTGCCCTTATTCAAAAAGTTTTTGGTTTCTTCCGGAGTTCTGGCGAATGCACATTTGGCTGTTATGTACAATTAATGCACAGCAGGAGCTGTCTTTGTTTTCCCTCACATAGCATTAGGAGTGAGCCATATATAAATGAGGATAAGTGGGATGAGGCTTAGCTAGAATGTAGGCCATAATCGGTTTCATTTCAACATGTTTCCAGATTTCATCTTTTACACCCTATCTTGTAAATGGATCTGTGGCTTGATTGTTTCTCCTATGCGCCACCCTTGCTTTTCCTCATGAAATTTTTATTTTTAATTGATTGATGTGTTAAATAAACAGATATTAGAAAAATGATTTGGCAGCTAGCTAGAGTTTTCTTTGAATGATCTTCTGCATCATGAGTAGTGATTGTGCTTCTTCTAATGCAACAAATTTTGGTCTTTGGTTCAGGCAACTGCTAGAGGGGAGGAAGGTATGACACTGTTTTTTGTCTGCTGTAATCCCAACTGTGGATATCGGTGGAGAGATTGAGATTTAGTTGCTCTCATAAGTTGATGTTCACAGCTGTTCAATGAAGGTTTTCACAATCTATGTTTACAAAGACTTTCGTGTTACTGTAATACAAGAAGCTTGCTCAACCTTAATCTTTACTGGCCAAAAAAAAAAAAATTATATTTGATGCATTGTCTGTTTATAAATTTTATAGGTTACTATTGAATTAGATAATTTCATTTTATTAATGAGTAATTTTTTTTAAATTAAATATTTGTATATTTATTTTAAAGATTGATGTTTACTTATTAATGAGTTAGCATTAATTTTTTCATTGATAATGTATAAAATTTTATATACTGATAGTGTATCAAATATAAAATTTTATTTTTTACTTTTTTGGCATTAAGTTTTTCATTTAGTATCAATTACGAGCCAAAAAGAGTGATAGATTTCTTTAATCATATTAAAATTTTTGCCAAGCTATGAAAAACCTCGAATTGTATGGGATTCATATTTTATAAACATTTATTCCAACAAGTCTAGACTGATTAATTACGCTCATGCCCGCGTGCTTGGCCTAGTTCAGGCTTAAGTTAGAGAAGGGTTCGTTTTATAGGAATTATAACGGAGCGAATATTGGTTACTTTTTAAATATCTGATTTTGAATCCGTTTAATATTTATAATATTTAAATTACTTTTTAGATATTTGTTTTTGAATCTGTTTAATGTTTATAATATTTAAATGCATTTAAATATTCATTTAAGTTTAACATAACTATACAAATCAAAATATATTTAAATAAATATTATTCATTTAAATATTTAAATTTATTAAAATATTTGTTTATTTAATTTTTTTGTCAAAATATAAAATAAATAAAATTTTAATTTAAAATTCAAATTTCCGTTTAATTAATAATAACTAAAATTTATTTTTTAAGCTCTGAAATTTTTTACAAACATAAAATTTTATATATTTTATATATGCAAAGAGGTAATAGATTTGTGTATTTATTGTTATTAATTAAAATTTAAGCGAATTTAAATATTAGATATTTAAAAAATACAATTAGTATTAACTCTGAATATATCACAAATAATAAATTTTTTTATCTAAATTTGTTAATTATTTATTTTTAACTATCCTAATTTTGATTTTTTTATTATCAAATGTTAAACATCCGTGGTCAATGAGCGGGCATCCATATCTGTTTTGAGACCAGTCCGATGGCCTGCATTGACAGGCTCTTCCCTATGCCCACATCACAGCCTGTCTGATCCCGTCGCCACTTTGCATCTCTGGATTCCTTCTATTCTCCCTATGTAACATGTGATGTCGACTTAACGTCACAGGTTACAGCCAGCGGAGTGGGAACATATAATAAAGCCCTACTTACCTTTTTTATATTACCTTCTTATATATATATATATATAATGTAACAAATTGATTATATAAATTGGGTGTGCTTGTAAAAATAGAATTAAATTATTGACATTCATATATATATATATATAATTTGAGTTTGAGTGTCAATGTGAATGTGTGAACTTGAGTTTATCTATTATAATACAGATTAATTTTTATGGAATCATTAGGGTAGGGTTTTTTATAAGGTGATCACTTCAAAGATCATGATAATTTATAAATGGTGATTAAATTATGGAACTCGATAGGGTAGGGTAGGGTTTTTTATGAGATAATTACTTCAAAAATCATGATAATTTATAAATCGTGATTAAATTAGTGTTCGGTAAACACCAGGATTTTACATGATGATGATATTAAATCACTAAGAATGATTAGATCACTATCTTAGAGAGTGATTTAATTTTTATACAAAAGGATAAAAAAATTTTATTATCAAGGTGATGTGATATGTAAAATTAACAATTATCAATATTCTTATTTAATATATAAATTAAAAACTTGTTTACTTTTAAAATTATCGTTATTTTATATCATAAATTTTTATATTTTCAAATTAATATTCAATGTAACAAATTCAAAAATAAATTGTATATTTTTTTACTTTTTAATATTTTTATATAATATATATTTTCATTTTTCTTTTATTATGAATTTAATAGAGTAGTTTTATTTTCTAATTCAAAATTTTTTTTATAATTTATATTATACCAATTAATTTACATACTAATAAATATTTATTAATTTAATTATATTTTATTATAAGATAAATAAAATATTATTTATATTTTATAAATTATTATCTTTAAACAACATTAAAATTATTAACTTGTGTAACTATTAATATGTATAATTATTTTTATACTTTTAAACAAATTATTGTCAACCAAATAAAGTGATCTCAAATTACGAGTAATAATTTCATCTTAATAATAAGATCACTTCGATGATAAGTTCACCTTAATAATAAGTTTACCTCACATAAATTTTCTTATTTTTTATTTTTTTGGCGTCCATGAACACCTCTACTCTACATATGGATCTGCTAGTGAGTAGCACAAAAAATCTAGTGAATGAAATTCATATTATTTATCAATATCAATGATATAAAATCAATTTCTTTATTTAGTGACTTTTTCCAAGTAAAACCAAAAACATACCACCAAAAGCCACATTAGTATTTGAAAAGTGTGATATTGATCAAAATGCAATTAGAAAATGAAAATAATTAAAAATATGAAGTAAATAAAAGAAGCATTGAAAATAAACAATAATGTTATAAGATTAAATTAACTAAAACAAAAAGAATTTACATACCTAAATTGAACTACAAATCTACAATCTTGTTTAAAACATTAAAAATTTGAAAATGATTAAGAAATTTGAACTAAAAAAGGAAGAATTTGAATGAAAATATGTACTTATTATGGAATTATTAGAAGTGAAAATATATATATATATATATATATATTTCATATGTTACCTGTAATTCAATGCAAGCTCAATAAAAGATTAAAAATAGTAGATAACATTAACTGATTAACCTAAATATGTGAAATACTTGATTGTTAAGTAGATTTTAAATAACTAAAGGATATAATAAGTGATATTTAATATGGTTGAATTAAAAAAAAGCAAATATTAAAGGCTTAATAGGAAATTTATAAATAGTAAAAATTATGTATGAGATTTTAAAATTTAAAAAAGAGATACAAGTATATTATTGAAAAATACATTTTAAAAGAGATATATTTAAATTATCTTAAAAAAAGATATATCTAAATTATATTGAATTGTCAACATTTATTACTATTAAAGAAGTAGATAATAAAACTTGATTTGACCTAATTGGTTGTTGATCTTAAATCTAAAATCCAATTTGAAATTAGAAAAAGTTAAAATTTAAAATGATTAAAATACTAAATACATAATTAAATAAAGATTTATCAAATGAATTTTACTAATGAATACCCTTGAATCACTTTTAAGTTTAGTTAAATTATAATTTATAATAATATTTTTTGTTAAATGTAATAGTGATAATTAATTTGATATATTTCAATTCTTTTAAACAAATATTACTTAATATAGTAATCTTAAAAATTTTGATATAACGGTGAATATTTTTCAACTAAAATAAGAGAGAAAATGAATGAATGAATAATGCTTTTCCAAATAAAAGAGTTTCATATTAATTATAAAAATATTTAAAATCAATACATTTGTATATTTTTCATTGAAACATCAGATAACACCATCTTTTTTTGTCATATGAAGAAAATAAAGTTATATAACTAATCAATCTTTTATCTGATTTTTCTACTTAAGATAATCTTGGATTATTGTTTCCATCAATAGAATGTTATTGTCCGTATATCAATTGAAAACTTAAATTTTCTTTTACTTAAAATATTTTATTATACTTAAATTTTTAATATATAAAAATAGTTAAATACATAATTTTTAAAATTAAAATAAAACCAAATAAATTCTTAACCTTGGAACTTGTTATGTTTTCTTAAGAAAATTTCAATTTTAAGAATGACAAACTTGTTATGTAATACCTATACAATTTATAATGATTTCATTTTTGGTATTAACAGTATAAATTTTCATGAAAGAATGTAATTTTGACATAAACACATATAAAAGATAACTCCAATTAATTCCAAAAAATTTTGTCACACCTTGAAGTGGGAATATATATTTTATATTTGACCTGTAATTCAATGCAAACTCACTAAGAGATTAAGAATAGTAGATGACAATAATTGATTAATCTAGATATGTGAAATACCTGATTGTTTAGTAGATTTTAAATAAATAAAGGATATAATAAGTGATATTTAGTATGTTAGAATTTAAAAAATAAGCAAATATTAGAGGATTAATAGGAAATCTATAAATAGTAAAAATTATGTATGAGATTCTCAAATTTAAAAAACAAATATAAGCGTTTTATTGAAAAATACATTTTAAAAGAGATATATCTAAATTATCTTAAAGAAAGATATATCTAAATTATATTTTATTGTCAACATTTTAATAGTTATTACTTTTTTAAAAGCCTTTAACTCATAACTCTTATTTGAACTTGTCTTTACTTTTATCATAAAGTTGTCAATTTTCTGATATATCTAATTATATAGTACTTAAAATAATTGAAACAGATAATTAATCCAAATAGTTAAAATATTATATTTAAAAAAAAGTCAAAAAATTATTAAGACCATAATGATTTAACCAAAAAAAAAAAAAAAGTCCTTTAAAAGTTAGTATTTTAATTTTGAATTTAATACATTGATAATAGGAGTGAGTTAAGATTTTTTTGTGATAAAAGATACCTTAGTCTAGTTATCATCCTTTTGTCTAGTCATTGTATGTTGTATAATAGATAGCTTTTTAGGATATCTTTTTATTCTTGTGACATTATTATAATTGTTTATGCAGGAGGTGGCTGAGGACAACTGTGTATACAGAATGTGGCTGCCAATCCGACTCTTCCTCAGACTAAATCTGTTATTTGCGCAAATAGTAAACATGGAGAAGCCGTGTTCTTCCAGGTCAACTTGCTACCGCTTAAATTTATTATTTCTGCACACAATGGTTATTGATAAATCCTCATTATATGGAAGAAATGTAATTCATTAATTGAGCATCTTTGTGTTTTAGAAATTTGCAGAAAATATTTTGACAGAAAAGATGAGAAATATATTCTTATGGAAGAGAAGTCTGGTATAGTATTAACTGGAAATGAGCATTTTACTCAAGAGGTGTGTGTGCATCATATCTGATATCA